CCGTACGCCGTAGTCCTGCAAGTTCCCTTGGTGTCGCCGAACCTTCGTAATGGAAACAGGGATAAGGCCCAAACCCACGGACGGTAAACAGATCAAGTGGCGCCGTCAAGGATGTACCACGCCGGTATTATCACGTCCTTGAAGCTATCTACTTACGGTTAGGCTCGACTCGCTGCCCTCGAAATGAATATTAGGTACCTTCACTGCAGCTCAGCTCTTGTCGGAATCTACACACTTTCCAGTAAGCGTGCGGTGGCTTCGGCTGCGCGTGAGAACTGACAGAGCGCAACTCTGATCGGACGAATGCAGTAGTCTGTTGTCTTAGGGCTACATCCGTGGATATATTTTGTATGTATTGAACACACATACACATATGCATATCCATAAATGTACAATACTTGCTCTAGGTAACCAACCAATCTATGTAGCAGGTAATGGCTTTGCGCATAAATTTGTATGTAGAATAGAAAATGATGTTGACGATGTTCAATGACCTTATTTTTCTTGCTGATCGACATCGTTGAACAAGAATGAGGAAATGTCCAGGCGCAGCCTGCAGACGCTAGATTGAAGGCTGACAAGAAAAAAGGAGACAGCTGGAGCTGGAAGTCTTCTGGGCTCGAGTTGGGAAATCTGGATGGTGTCATTGATGCACGTCTTCGAGGTCCAATGAACTTTGCTCTTTGCCTTCATAGTTGTGGGACTTTTGAGGATCTGCTGCCGACTACTAGGTATGTAGGTAGGTACCTAGTAATGCTGCATAGCATTTTGAATATCGCGATAGCCGAATTGTACATCCATAGGTATATTTTCATATTGTGACCTGTCACTTTTTTTTCAACCTCGACTACCTAGTAGACGATGCACAATACCGGGTTAGAGACGCATCCGGTATGATGAAACCTGCAAGGACCCCCACTAGCATAAATTCGTATGTTGAATAACGGGTCGCTATGCAGATTGTCGAGACTACATACCATTCATGAAATGGGCTGTAAGCGTTGACGTTTGTGGAATGCGATTTTTGTCGCCTTGGAACGACAATTGAATGTTGCTCGCAACGGAAATTTATAGCGGACTTCAGTGTGAAGCAGACAGCTGTTTTAGTACCTGACCTCGCTGTAAATTTCGTGAGTATCCACTCCAGGGCTTCTAAACCATTTGGTGGCGCCCTGAAATAGTGCTGTAGCCCTACCAGAACAACTATGAGCCTTGGGAGTGTTCCTCTCACCCTCTTTCCCCTATCTCAGGGACTAGCTTCAGCCTGAGTCGTCGATCCTTGATATATTGGCTAGCGGCCTGAATTAATCGAATATCTACCTTTTCCTATAAGTGGTGCTTTAGCTAATAGCCGATTTAGGGTTGGTCTACGCATTGTCTTGTCCTGCTCGACCTCTTCCCTAAGCCATTAAGGAATCAAGACTGTTGGGTTGGATCGTCGGCTAAGCGGACGATCCGAGGAGTAAGAAAAAACCACGAGTCTGTGGGCTGGCAAGGAAACGACCAATGAAGGAGTGACCGTAAGAATTGATACGCCGGGCTCAAGGATACTACCTCTTCAGAAATCATTCGCGGGACTCACTCGGTTGAATGAGCTAGTATCCACCGGGAAAGGCTTCATGTATGCCAGCTCATGTGGTTACTTTGTGGGGCTCCCGAGTCCCATTTGCAATTCGTGAGGAGAGGCCGCAAGGTGACAGGCAGCAGAGACGAAGCCGTTAGAAGGAGAACACTCCGTGGCGTATGATAGACCCCCCCTTTCCCCCCTCCCCCTCCCCCTCTCTTCCCCCCCTGGTCAGATGAAATCGCATATATAAGTCAGCAGAAAGATCATTCGATTTAGCTCGACGGTGGCTCAATCATAGAGATGCTGAGGGGATAAGTTCAAGGGCTCACTGAACGTGGTGTAGCACTGGATGAACCTAGCCTCAGTACCCATTAATGGACATGATCCATTACATACCTAACTATGTAGGCAACGTGACAGCTTTCTTACCAAATACTCACAGTCGCCCTATAGCACCATGTATTTCTTTCCCAAGCTTTGGATCGGGTCGTTTTGCGTAAAGTATCAACCTGAAGCTTTCCATAGCCTTTTGCCGAACACGTATGAGATCTTCCTTGTAGATAGCTTTAACTAGATCTCCACAAAAGGAATGCGGTCCCGGGGCGCAACGCCCAACTACTTGTATGACAACGTTTTAAATAAAATGAGAAAGTAATCATGGTCTTCGGGGTTTCTTCTATATTCGGTGTCGAACTAGGTTGGCTGCAAGAGAAATCGGCTGAGAGATGGAGTCCAAAGCAACATTGAACGACAAGACAATAGAACAACATGCTTACTTGCCTATCCGAAGTACTTACCTAGTAGGTACTAGTTAGGTAGTAAATTGTTGGCGAGCCGGTAGAAATAGGAGGAAAAGATACTAGAAAGCAATCGACGACGATGGAATTATGGCGGGACGATAGGAAGAGTGACAGGGTAGTCGACAAATCGGTGTTAGACTCCTTCTATGTTACACTAAGCGGTTTAACGACAAGGGGCCTAAGCAGACTCAGCAGAGACATCTACTATTATGTAGATTCTGGAGAAACAAAGAAGAAACGCCCCGAGTTGGTGTTGCGCAAGGATCGAATCAAAGTCTCGATAACCTAAGAAAGGATCTAGGCAGGTCGGATGGTGATCTATGTCCTATGCCTAACGAAATTAACGACTCACGAGCTCTTTGAATTACACTCAAGAGCAAGCATGCGTATGGGGCATGGAGCGTTGGGCATTTCGGTCAAAGTATACAAATGAAGTCTGCGACAGAATATCGGGGGACTAGAGCGAGGACGAATATGTACAAGAACGAGGACGAGAACAGTGACGAGGACTTGATAGTACATACATGTAAGAAATACATGTAAAAGAAAACTTCCTCAAGGTTCAATGTTCTCAACTGCTCTCTCATTTGACATTTGTAGTTACACAAAGGAGAAATTAACTTCGAAGCTAATGATTCCCAAAACTAGGCACCCAAGAGGAAACTGCTCCATAGAATCTATAAAATCCATGGATGTACCTAGTAGAATGTAGCTAGGCATATCCATATATGTGTACACATTGACATTGCAATCATTGCATGTGTACCACCAATACTATGTATACAATGTTCCTGTAAAATAAAATAAAAATAAAAATAAAATCAAACTAAGGCAGCACGCACCTTAACTCGGACACACGCAGCACATGTCGCACAGGTCATGCACTCGTTGCATAGGTTACATACAATGTCATACATAGTACATACCCCCAGGTCTAACATCCACATCCATTGCAAGTTGTTTTTTGCACAGTAAGTAGGTATCTACTATGTAATAGGTACCTACTTACTTCAGTGACTAGGTAGGCATGTAGCAACATGAAGTGACGGCAAGTCAGATACAAATACATGATGCCTGGCGTGTAACTAAGGCATATCTCGTCCATTCATGTATGTAGGTATAGATGATATAGGTATGTAAAATATAGTAAGTAACCCCTTTCGTTGCATTAAGCTATTTGATTACATACAAGTGCTTTGCCTCGGTTCATGAATCAAATTATCCCCCCCCTTTCCCTGGCCCCCTTGCCCCCTTTCCCCCTCCCCTATGACCATTCATTTTTAAACCCTAACTACAAAGTATATGTAAATCTATATCTTCTTGATAGGAGATCCGAACGCTTGGATCGAGGAGACTTGGCAAACCCGGATCTTGGATGATGTTTATCCCTCCTTAAGAGGTTAAGAGAGTTACATGAGAGCTACATATCAATGTATACTTAGGTAGGTACAATGCTTGCATACCACACATGCATGCACGCGTACCTACATATATGCATACAACTTATATGACATGCATATATCCCATATCCTACACAACATCATTCTCCAGGGTTATCAGGGTATCAGGGTATCAGGGTATCAGGGTCTAAGGGTCCAAAAGTCTAAAGTTTAAAGTCTAAATTCAGTCCAGTAATTACGACTGGCATAGTCAGTCAATATTACTTTGATTTCCTTTTGGATAACTTTTATTGTATTTTCTTTTTTTTCTTTTTCTTTTCTTTGAGCAAACCCTAGCACCTAGCACCTAACACTTAGCACTTAGCACTTAGCACCTAGCAAACCCTATCCCTCTCTTCTCTTTCTCCCTTATTCACCCATCCATGTGTCTCTCTCCCCACCTCACGATCTCACAAAATCCCCCGACGGGCCCATGTACCCGCCAACCCGGTCGATGACAACCGTACCTAGGTAATTAACAAAAACGAGTCATCCCTGCTTTTTTCTTTTTTCTACTCGTCTTGTCTGACCTGAAAGCGTCGTCCTGGTTTCTCGAAGGCCCACACACACTCTCCACACATACTTAGACAACACGCATACAGCCTACACATACTGACAGTCACGATCTGCTTCTCGACACCAGTCCAATGGTGTCTCCTGACGCCATATCCGCAGTGACGAAACAGAACTCCTTCAAGTGCCAAGAAGTCCCACGGCTTGCCTCTGTTCCACGTTCTACCCTCGCAACCTTAGATATCAAACCCCACTTATGAGTCGTGTCCTGTCAGAAATTCAGATCATCGTGCTTCTCTTTCCCTATCAGAGCATGGCTGGACGCATCGGGCTCACTCTCTATGATGGTGCTTTTTGCCGGGCTTTTACTCACTACAGGACTAGCAATATCATTACATCGGCTTAAAATCCGTGTCTCTGACGAATAGAGCCACGAAGACGTTTCTGCCGCCTGCCTTTCCGCTGCGTGCTCAACATAATTCCGTGCTTCTTCGTCGGATACATACAGCTCCATCTCATGCCTCGTCACTCTCCCACGCAGGGGCTAAGGGGGTGGAAAACGTGGCCATCTAAACTGCCCTTTTCTTCTTCTATTTAAGTGCCCCTGCGGTACACCTTGCCAGTCTTTGTTCCGGTGTTGGCTACACCTGAGAAAAGTATAAGTACAGCCGTATAGCTCTGAGACTTCGTGGACATCTGTCTATCATCATTAACATCCATACTGTTGTTCCTCTTGCTGACCACTTACCTATTCAACTGGTGATCACCAACGTTCCTTTGGTTACTACTCCCTCTCTTACATCTTCACGTTTTCGCAAGACAATACCCAATATCTACCACTACGACAATGCCTGTCTCGCACCTCCACCACTTCCACTCCAACTCAGAGTGTCACGTCAACCATTGCTCTCTCCCCACAACTACTCACCCCTCGCCCATTATTGACATGTCTGGAACTGTATGTAAAAAAGCACTTATCCAATAGACTCAGAGCTGTTCTAATTGGACTTTTCAAGGCTCCTGGGAAGCGTTGTCCTACCTGCGAGGGCAAGGGCAAAGAAGTCTGGGTCTTGCCTGGCAGAGACTGCCCGTACTGCGGAACCTACGTTTCTTGAGCGCGAAGCCACCTAGTCAGTTACCACGTGTTTGACGATAATTGAACATTGCTCAGCTAAGACCAGAACCACAGGTTTCCAATTAGCCATGGGTGGCCTCTGGGCGTCTTGTGCCCGGCTATCCTCAATATCATTTCTCAGTTTCATTCTCTGCAAGTTCGACGCCATCCACGCACCAACCATGGCTTTGTCCAGGTTGACCATATAGACTATCGAATTTACTAAGACCTAGCGTCTTCTCGAAAAGAAATTTACTCGATAGAGGTGCGAGGAACAATTTAAGGAGTACACATCATTCGGAGTCATGAGCTTTTAGGCTTCAAAAGTCGGTGTCTAGTTTGGGGATCGCAAGTTTGCGGCATGATTTTTTTTTACCTTTGGTTTTTTCCAAAAACCTACTTGTCAGGGGGTATGGAGAGAGGCGTCCCGCTAGAATCAAATATTGGCTGGTTAGACAAGAGGAGATGAATGTAGAGCGACAATACCCAGGACATGGAGGTGTTAGCCTTCACGTGTCTAGCGAAAGACAAGAATTTTATTATGACGATCAATCTTGACATCGTGAGTCAGCTGACAACTGCGAGTTCGACAAAGTACGAGCCTTGGCGAATCATAACCGCTTTGAGCGAGCCAGGTTGAGAACCGGAGTAGGGCCGGGCTGTCTCCTTATTATGTGATTCGTCAAGAATTAGAATTATCTCCCCATCTTAAACGCGAGTGGCTCTGGAGACAGCCGCTCGAATGTTATTCGCTCGTGGATTCCCTGTCAGCCCTGCAAGGCTTGGGTGAGGCTCAAGGGGGTTGCACTTGTGACCCTGGGTGAACACAGTGCCCTATGTAGGCTGGCTGCGGCTTTCTGAAAGGACGGAGATGCATATGTAGGTGTATGTAGGGTACATATGTAGGGTACTACTACGTGTATGTATGTACTAGGTAGGTAAGCAGGTTGGTTCGTACGTGTACCGAACATGTTCCACCGGAGTACAAGTAACCCTCCCCGAGTTGACCGACATGCCCAATGAACAAAAGCAAAGTGGTAAAGGGTACTTAACAGTTACTTCTGAGGCTCTGGTATCGAATATTGGTTCGGATTTCTCAGCTCGGAAGTTCCGATGTTACACAACAGCAAGCGGGCGACTCCAGATTCAGATTCAGATCTAGATCCCTATCTCCATCTCCATCTCCATCTCCATCGTTATGTAAGTACCTCCCACTTTCTAGGAAGAAGATGACCGGTTTGGGAATCGGAAACGAAACAAGCTTTCATATTATGCAAAATCTATGGGTAGTTCGATTCTTACATCATTGACCGCGTGGCAACTGCTAGGTAGTTGGTGCGACATCTAGATTCCCATTCTACACTTTCACAACTCACATGCGACTCTCATGGGATCTCTCTGACAGCCACACTGCGACGTGAAGAAGACGCCAGTAAGCTCCTGCGGCCGTAGCGCTTGTGTAGAATAAAATCCCAGATGCCACCGGCGTAGTGCAAGACTATGAACCTACCGGCTAGTTCGGCTCGCCCGAGTGTAAGTAACAAGGCAGAGGAAAGAGTTGGCGAGATATATTTCTGCCTCTGACGTTTAACTGTTACGTACCTCTTTCAATATACGTATATGTACCTACATATATGTAGGTTAGGTTGTTATATTATATACAATGTACTACTAACATTGAAGTAAGTAGGGCAGAATAAGAAAAGGTAAACAAATACGAAAAAAGGGGGGGAAATGATCTAAATCTGTACATAGCATGTACCTTAGTACCTTAGTACCTAGACTACAGATAATTCGTTAATTACCTAGTACTTAGGGTAGGCATCTTATTTCTTATTGTTTTATCGAGGTAATGTTGTCGAGGCCAACTGAAGAGCAGCTGCTTAGTCAGGCATGGGAAGAAGATTCATTGCAATACTATTGGCTGGCAATGGCTGCTGGATGCCTACTCATATTCAGTACCCTGGCCTACCTAGGGTATTCAAGTTGTATATACCTAGTAATTACATAAAACATTGCAGTAACAAGATGATTAGAGCATTGAATACATCCATGGATGTAATCAATTATCACGCATATTCGGTAACCTTCTCATCTACACACACCGTTGACGACATACGAGAATCGTATTAATTGACTCGATTCATCATTTCCATCTAACCCACTCACCTTATTCGAACGGCATTTCATCTGGGCCATCTAATATTACCTATGCTATCACATACAAAACACTGTACTGTATGTACATACTGCCCTACTTGGGAAAGTATAGCATGAACATTGAATCAAACAAAATGCTCGTTTCTTTTGACCGACCCAACGCCTTCTCATCAAACCGGGAACAAATATCATGGATCGGAATAAGAAACCTCTACCTAATACATATAACGTATATTATAACGAATATTAGGCAGGTAGCTATTGACGATCGAGGTTATACAAACTAGGTAGGTATTTGAGGCGAACAGCCAAAAAAAAAGCAATAACAATCCAGGCCCGGTTAGGACTTCCAAAGACTGAATTGAGCTTTCCAAGGTTCTCAAGGTTCTCAAGGTTCTCGACTTCGACGATATTGTCGGAGTGGCAATAACTACCTACTTGGTATGCAATATCACAGTCAGCTAAGGTCAGATAACTTCTAGATTGACGCTGAAAGGATTGCGAACTGCATACCGCACATGGGCGAAAGGGCTACCGCAAGCAAGAGTCTACTGCCTCTTTTTCAACATACCCCTGCCGATGATGAGCAGCTTGCTATTTCCTTATCATCGCAAAGAGGTAATATTTGTATGCTGCAGAAATTCAACTGATCATCAACTGGGTACTAGGTTCAATGTTTTGTAGATGGAACTAACACAAAGTATTCGACTTCATTTTCTCACCTCTTGAGTATCCCAGCCCTCAGCTGTCAACAACCAGCCCCTAGCTCCCCGAAGCCAATACTTGCTTTAAACCATTACAAAGAGTCATACGAGCATAGACTCATACGTAACATTGACTTCTTCGTATTCTTCCATTAGAACACATTCGCTATCTTCATGCTGTAATATCATAACACATTAGAAAAAGAAAAAAGAAAGGGGGTCAACGATAGACATCATCATGTCTTGTCCTATGCCTAACTGCTATCTCATCCGCCCCAACGGGACGAGTCAAAAGGTCGACCACGACAAGGATACAAGCCCGGGTAATATCTTCTATTACTGCTCTTTACACCGCGTCTACCATTGCGTCGCTGCCAAGTTTCATCGGCGTCTTCCGCAGCCCACTTGCGGCGAGTGTGCTTGGCTCTTCTTCCAGTTCCCCAAGGAGGCAACCAAGTACCCCGAGTCCGACATCCCCGCATTTGCTAGCTCTGAGGATGAAGAAATGGCAGTGGAAGCCCCTTTCTTTCATGGCCACGACTTTGGATACGAATACGGTGCTACCGCTAATGTCCAGGATTTCGGCGGTGATATGGGCCTCCATGGGAACATGCCTGTGTCACCCACGATAGAGGAGACCCTCGACGCCTTGGCTCATCGGGCTCGCCAGAGCGATAAGACGCAAGACGGCGACAGCCGAAAGCGTGTCCGCTTCGACTCCCATGATGGATCTCGTAGTCGAGAATTCGAATTCGGCCCTAGCCCAAACGAGTAGTACTCTAGGCCCGACACCCCTCAAATCATGGTGACCGACTTAGACGGCGATGTCCTAATGCAAGACGCGCCACCACTTCCAAGGCAGAACCCCTCCCTCTCCTCCTCATCATCGTCATCGTCATGCCCCCCTTCATCGTCATCACATTTCCCAAGCCTCGTCCGCCTCCCCATCCGCCGGCGCCGAGACCCCTTCCTCGAGCAGTTCATCCCCTACGACAACCCGGCCGTCTTCGACGTGCAGCCCGCGGCCTGGCACAAGCGGCTCCACGGCGTCTTCCTCTTTCGGTACACGGACTTCCGCGGCTGGCCCGCCATCATGCCAACGGCGGACGAGAGGCGGATCCGGGAGTACTTTGCGCGTCTGGGCGACGGTGATGAAGGACAGGAGGGGAGAGGAAAAAGAAAAGCCGAAGGACGAGGAGGAAGGGAAGGAGAGGGAGTTGACCCGCTGCTCCTCGAGGCCCGCACGTGGTGCTGCTGGGCCCAGGGGTTCTCGTACCTCGAGCCCGAGATCCGCTGGGTGCTCACGCTCGTTTATGACCTCGTCGGCGTGCTGATCGCGAAGCAGAAGAGAGCGGCGGTGAATAGTCGGCGAGCACGAGTACCCGTTGGGGACTACCGGGGTGGTGGTCCGAGTAACGGTTTTAACAATAATAGCAATAGTATTGGCAATAGTAGTGGTAGTGGTAGTGGCATTGGCGGTATTGGTAGTATTGGTGGGTCGACTTGGAATTGGAGTGGGCTCGAGGAGGGAAGAAGAGGAGGAGGAGGGAGAGGATCGGAAAACGCGAAAAATCCTGGTCGCTTGTTCTGGAGCGGCCGGTATTATCTTTATAGTCTGATGGCGGTCGTGAGGGACCTCAAGGAGGAGTTTAGGGTCCAGGACTTGGTTATCCCTCGTTTTATGTGGTTTGCGGAGGGGTAAGATGGACTACGCTACTAACTTAGGGGGTTAGGGGGTTAGGGGGTAGGTTTGTGGTTTGGGGTTTGGCCTTTGTCTCTGTACAGTTGCTGAGCGTTTTTTTTTTTTTTTTCAATTTGTTTTGATAGGTGGTATTGATTCAAAAGTACAGCGTATGTGGTGACGGGTGGGTGGGTAGGGCTGCTTCATGATATGATTAGAGAGAGGGGGGAAGTAAGGGGATGGGCAGGTTAGAGGATACCTCTATGATCCAGGTATTACTTTTAGTCTCGTTTACTCTATCCTGGGTTATCTCTCCTTACCTACCTACCCCCTATCACGGGTGAGGTGAGTAAAGTTAGTACTAGTCTTTTCAAGCAAAATCATATCAAACCTATCAGATATCCATGCCTAACCGTGAGCGTTTGGTGCGTTGACTACCTACTTATTCCTACCTGGTGCGTACTATACTGGGAAGGGACAGACTTATTGATGTATTAACTATCGGTAAATCAGGGGTATAGCATTACCTTGTACGTGAATATGATAGGGGAGCAAAGGGACGCCAGTATTTCCCTCCCCTCCCATCCCCTTAAAGGGGGGGGGGGGGGGGGGGGGGGTCGAGGATCTATATTCCTACAATAGGCTTACTTACCTACCTACCTACCTAGGTTAGATAACTAAGGAAGAGACATTCACAGGCATAACAATCACAAAAAGACGCATTAAGATTTTTTTGGTGTGTGTGTGTGTGTGTGTGTGTGTGTGTGCAAATGACAAAAACCGTCATCCGCTGTGTTTCGCTTGTATTGATTCATGCTAAGTATCTGTTTGTGTGTGTGTTTTTTTTGGGTTGTTCTTGTTTTTTTTTTCATCCGCTTTTCTCAAATCTAGGTTGTTTATCCGCTTATAACCAAAGTACCGCTCGAGGGCTGTAGGTAGCCCGGGTAGGTAGGTAGGTCAGGTAGGCCTACCTAGGTACCTAAACCATACTAGGAATTAACTTGTTCCAGACACCACCCGTCTGCCCACCTGATCGTTGGTATCCTCGTTGGCCTTGGCTTGGAACGAGATGGACGAGGTGGGAGTGGTGGGGGTTGTTTTGTGCTGGTGTCTGGGCGTTCTTCTCTTGTTGTTGGAGCAGGGGTTGTTTGTATTGAAGCAGGTGTTGTTGAAGCAGTTGTTGCTTGTGTTGAAGCAGGTGCTGTTTGGCTTGAAGCAGTTGTCGATTGACTTGAAGCAGTTGTTTGACTGGAAGCAGTTGTTGATTGACTTGAAGCAATTGTCGATTGACTTGAAGCAATTGTCGATTGACTTGAAGCAGTTGTCGATAGACTTGAAGCTGCTGTTGCTTGTGCTGGTGCTGCTTGTGCTTGTGCTGCTTGTGCTTGTGCTGCCTGTGCTTGTGTTGCTCTTAATGCTGCTGCTCTTGCTGCTTGTGCTGCTCGTTGAGAAGCTAGTATGGTTCGGATATTGGCATCATTGGTGTTGTAGTAGGCGGACATCTTTTCTATCATGGCCATCGTCATCTTTTGCTTTAGCGTTTTCACTTTCAGCATATTCTCCCGCGCCCTCGTTTTCCGCTTATCACTAGGGTTGTGATTGAGCTTGGCTTTAGCGGATTCGGTGGTGTTGCTGCTTGTGGCATTGTTCTTGCCTTTGCTGTTGCAGCAGTCGTTGCCTGGGCTTTTGTTTGAGGTTGTGCTTGTGCCTGTGGTATTGCTTGTGATGCTCGTGTTGCTCATGTTCTTGTACTTGAAGCTGGTGATGAGCGAGCGGCTGCAGGACTCGCACTGCCAGGGCTGAGGAGGCGGGAGATCTTGTGGTTGTTCATTGATGCTGTTGTTGCTAGTGTTGCTAGTGTTGCTTGTGTTGCTAGTGTTGATGATGATGGTGATACTGATGGGTAGATTTGAGCGTGCTTGTTGGATGTACTGGTATGTGTGTTAGCTGTGCTTCCTTTCCTCTTTTTTCTTCGACTTAAAGGGGGGTGGAGTGGCGAGGGGAGTAGAAGAAAAGGAGATAAAGGGAGGACGGGGAGGATATTTACCTTCTGAATCACGAAACAAAGCTGGTTCCAGAGCGCTTGTAAGTGTGTGGTTATCCACACTTCTTGCCCTTTGCGCTTGTGTTCAAGCTAGATTGAGTGTTAGCTGTCTGGATACGTAACATTTTGAAGGTGGGAGGAAGGGAGAGAAGGATCGTTTACATACCGTCTCGTACTCAACGAGTGTACGCCTAGCTAGAGTCTTTATCGACTCTTTCGCAGATAAGTGTATCTTGCGCTTAGTCTGGCACACGTGTCAGTTATCTGCGAAGAAACTCCATTTGAGGGCGTAGGAGGCGAGGACATGGGGAAATGGAAAAGGAATAGGGAGGCACATAGGATCCTGGCTTACCTCTCTGATTGAAAGACAGGTTTTGGCAAAGAATGCTTTGACAGGTTCTGAAAGCACGAGGCCATAGACGTAGGACTGCGATGAGGTTAGCTGTTTGTCTCCTACCCAATGTGGGCATGCTCTGGATTTCATAGTTAGGTACTGACCAAGATCATGTCCCCGCAAGCGAAGACCTCGGGCAAACAGGTTATCAGGGCGATATAGAGAAGGCAGTCCTTGATGATGTCCATGTTAACATCGTCAAGAATGACTGACGTAGCCGATACAGAGAAAATGCATGCTATGGTCATGTAGAGATCCTCGAGAAGGGCATCGAAATAGCCGGGGCTGCGAGGATCTCGCCGAGGAGTATGCATGTCGGCGATCGTGCGGAAGGCGTACATGAACACGATGAGGTATGACCATATCTGCTGTAACGGCTGCTCCTTGTCTGTATGCATCGTGGGTGTGCATTCTCGCACAAAGTCCCCCGTGCAGCTCATTGTTGCTTGAATCGCTAGTGGGTGCCTGGGTAGGTATTCTTTGCCTGTTCTTTTTGTTTTTTGTTTGTAATAGTATCAAGAATTCAAGGTATGTGTATAGCTTGGATTCACGATGCTTTATTGTGGTTGTTTGAAGTGGTTTGTTTGATGAAGTGCGTAGTGAGTGTGTGGGAGTTGTATATGAAGATGTGACGGTTGGGACGAAGACCACAAGCACGCGCGACGAGCTTTATATACTCGTCAACCGGGGAGGACACATAGACCTCAACTAGGTTTTCATACGTGGCCAGGCCTTGAGATGGGAGAATATTTCATCTTTCTACTTGTATGTACATACTTCGCGCCGACCCAAGTCTAACCAGAAACCCTAACGCCCTGACCTAATACGTTCTACCTACCAAGAAACCTTAGTATCAGAGGAGGATACTTGGCGTAGCATAGCACCACAGTGATGAAGTTGAGTTTGGGAGTTAAAATATACACATCGTCCTATTAGACGAGCTTAAAGACACGATCCCATCATCATTGAGGAGATGGAGTGGGTTGAGTACCTATCTCGGTAGGCATCGAGGGCGGTTCCCCGGAAGACGTTACTAGAGTATATTCTGAAAATTGCACCTAAGCAGGTAAGTAGATGGATGGATTTGAAGGAAAACGTCGTGGGAAGACGTTTGATGAGAGGATGCTTTTCGGGGAGCATTGGTAGGAGGTTATTCATAAGCTTTACCTTTATTTAGACATATCCCCAGACATATCCCCAGATATGTCATCTCAACTCTGAAATCATATTATCTGCCACTTACCTAGTAAAAACCTAGAGTTAATACCTACATAGTAGTGCTGACCAAGTGTTGTTTAGGACGAACCCTTAACTTAAGAGAAAGTGTATTAGAACTTTCTCGACTTCGATGAACTACCCCTATTTTTGCTTTAACTTTACCCGTATATTCGGATGAAGGCAGATAAAGATCACTTTGATCCCACCGAGTCTAAACTTGACACCAACTCAAAATGTCACAACCTTCATTAAATCCTGGCAAGCAATAAGGCTCTATTCAAAATTCAAAGTAGGTAAACATCAATTACTATACATACCTACTAGGTACCTAGAAAGGTACTTAACCCATCCAGCTACCAGGCACTAGGTACATAGCATACAACCCTTAGACCTCCCCTCTCCTCTCCCCCCCCTTTAAACTAACAAAAAAAGCTTGGGTCAGGTCTCTTTGTCTCCCTCTCTCCCACACACATGAACAAATGGGAAAAAGAGGAAAAGGGGAAAATCCGACGACGACGATGACGCCGTCGAGCCCTCCAAATATTGACTGATCAATTGTTCCCTAAACCGATAATACCTGACTCCCTTACCTAATATCCTTATGCTACCGCCATCAATCGATCAATCATCGTCCTATAGGCCTCTACATGCAACACGCAATATGCATTCCAACTAAACTGAACTCAACCGAACTCTTAACCCTCGAACTCAACGATTCGGTGCGTCGGCGAACTAGCCATCGGCGTCTTCAACCTCCCATCATGAATACTGCTGATATTGGTATCGATATCAACGAGTGTCTGAACAATTTGTTCTTGTCCCTCTTGATTCTTTCCCGCCCCTGCCTCTGCGTCGGCCCCGTCTAGAAGGTCTCTGTCCGACGACCGTACGCTGCGCCGCTCAGGGTCGCCATTATATCCATGAATATCTTGATTTTCCTCTTCGTCATCGTCTTTTTGCCCCGGCACTGCGTTCTTCTCCAGTTCGCGCTGCGCTTCCTCCATTCGCCGTCGCACCTCGGCAGCCACACGAGACGCGTCCGTGACGATGTTATCTAGAACACCACGTAGACTGCGCCCTGCCCCGGCGGCACCTGCTTGTGGAACGGGGAGCGGGGAGGCGGTGCCACGCCCGAAACCCATATTCGAGAACGTGGTCAAAGCTGAGGTGGATGGCGTGGAAATTCCCAAGCCGTCTGTCAGGTGTAACGAGGTAGGGAAGGACGACTCGAAAAACTGTTCCAGCAGCTCATCTGCGAGCACGACCATGCGGAATGTAGGTAATGTTATATGCAATGGGTTGGAAGGGTCTAAGGCTGCATTGGCCTTCTCAGATTGTGCCTTGGATACTGCACGTCTGGTATCATTATCAATATCTGGCTTGCCCAACGCCGGAGGAATCGTTTCTCCAAAGTCTGGCTTCTTCTTTGTGGATTTAGGACTATCTTCTGGACCTTCGAAAGCGAGTAAATCATCCTCATCTTCGTCCTCATCGTCATCATCGCCAATGGCAAATGCGCTATTATCTGCCGTCTCGTTTGTATCATAAGATGATGCTTGCTCACTTGCACTCTGATTGCTCGGGTGGTCTGGATCGGCATATTCGAAGCATCGTCTGATGAAAGCACTAACGCTTCCTAGAAATCGTTCATTGATAGTACCACCGACAGACGGACTCGATGCGTTGCTAGACACGTCACCCGAACCGTTAAGAGAGGTAAAATTGGGATTGCCCAATGATCCTTCTAAACCTCGGCGTGAAAGGAAAAGGAGCGCTTCAGAAATTCGAAGAATACCTTCTCGATCAACTCTGCCATCGTTATCATCATCGTAGAGTTCAAAGAAATATGTGATGGTGCCCATGATATCGCGTTTGCCTTTGATATGCGCAAAACCGGTCACGACGTTTTGTAGTGTCAAGGTCGAATTAGAATCTACATCCCATTTTCGAAATAGCCTCTGCATGAACTCATGGTCTGCTGGCTCTGGGTTGCCACCCCACGGAGAGAGAAGGTTGGGATCGGAACGTCTAAAACTGTTGAAGTACGAATTCTGATTTTTCTCCGGGGGCGCATTGCGTTGAGATGAAGCAGGGGCGTCTGAGATAGCCCATTTAGACACGGTAGCAAGAAATTCCCGGAACGCATCGTAATCCATCAAGCTGGTACTAGGACCGAGACCAACCCTCCCCTTCTCTACGCCATGGTCGTGGTGTTCGGGGTATGCTTCCGAGGCTCTGGCTCTATGACCCTTGGATCGACGCAACTGTTCTTGGATAAGCTGATCTCGCTGTTGTCGTTCGTATAGTATCACATAGAACCTGTCATAGAGAGATCCCAGCTCGTCCGGGCTCAGCAATTTGCTGTCCGGTCCAAGGTTGCGGATAGCAGTACGTTTGGCAAAGTTCTCAATGTTACTGAGAACTGCGTCCTTGTTCTTTAGCCGTAGATCTTGGATGGTACTATGTGTTATGGCCGAGAACTCCTTGAAAGCGACGACCATGAGTTCCTGGAACCTATTGATGGCCCGTAACTTGGGATTTTCTGATGTAGGGTGTGCGGATTCATCAAGTCGCATGAAATATGACTTTAAAACAGATATGAAGGCACCATCGTCAGTAGCATCTAGCAACTCTTCACCATTGATTCTTAAAATGGCCAGCCCGACCTGGAAGAGAACCTTGGGTCCCTCCACGAAGAAGACATCTAGGACCCTGAAGGCAAAAACCAGAGGCATTGAGTTGATATAGAGCGACAGAAACCAGGGAAGAGAAACAACGGAAAGCTGTACGTCACTCTTTACTAGATGTTCCCATAATATTGGCATGGTCTTCTCCACGAGAGATTCAAACACCTTCTGGTCCAAGAGCGTACCATACATGGTAGATGAATAATATCCTGGAACCAGTCTATCACATAAGGCTGATAGAAGGAAGAAGGCTTGTGTTTCGGACATGTATATTAGTAAGGCAGCGACTACGATGTTCATGGCCTGACAATAGCCGACATCGGGATTTATCCAGCTGTACGCTGTAAGAACTCGTCGCAGGCGGTTGATTCCATCTTCGCTTTGGAACCCAGGGTATTCCGGAAGGCTTCGATTCAGGTCCTTTTCTATCTCATCTATAGCCAGTGACTCTTGTCCCGAGTATTTGGTAAGCGTTTCCGTGTACAAGCTTGGCTTTTCGAGCCGTAGATATAAAGATCCGGACGTCAATTCCCAGATTTCGCCTCGTAGCCGGTTCGGAAGACCAACTCTAATAAGCTTATGGAACGTCGGTTGTCGGATGAGGGTAGTGTTTCGACCATTATCTCGAAGATACTCGGCCCATAACCTCATCTTGGCTCGATCTCTGAGCTTCTTTGGGTCGCCAGGGTATCGGAATATCATACCCAGACCAGCGTCAGGCGGACTCATGGCCTTCTTGTCTTCGGGTCGAAGGAGGTATTCCGAGTAGCAGTCACCTACGACCTTTTTGTATTTCCCAACACTGCCAACAGCATTCCTTAGACCTTTCTTGAGGCCATCACAAAATCTCTCGCAGGCAGGACGAGGACCGGCAAGCTGTATGGTAATCCTCTGCTCCCTGATCTCTTTCTTGTCCTTTTGTGCGTCTTTGTCTTTGACTGATTCCTGGCTAATACCGTTCCAGGTCGTGATCGCGAGCGCAAACTGGGGTTCTCGGCATTAGCTCGAGTTGATAGATAACTGGAAAAAGTAGAATAAAGTTAATTGTTTACCTGAAGACTCTGCGTGTTTAAACGCTCAACACGTCTAATGGTACACAAGGGAAATGTGAACCCATTCCCACTAGGACCAGCGCCATGAGTCTGGCCATAAAATGCGGCCGAGGTGGAAGGGCTAGCGCTTTGAGAGAAACTGGTGGGTGTGGTCGAGAAACAGATGTAAGACTCAGACAGGTGTAGTTTACCGGCATAGTGCCATCCCCTATCACGTTCTTTGTCTCCCTGGGTGACGTTTGAAGGAGGTATGGTGAGTTCGGCAGGTATCTCGTACAGGGGGTTTTGAGAGCTGGGGAGTCGAAACTGATTCTGGAATAGAGTGGCTTTGGGAGGGTTTCTGTCTGAGTTGGTCAAGTTCAACCCTTGCATAGGGTCAATCAGCTGCTGAGCAGCAGACTGAGCCTTCTGCACAAAGCTACTGAGGTTGAACATAGTTCAAGACTTTCCAGTAGAGTCAGGTCCATGAACTTGTAGCTTAATTCATTTCTAACGGGGGCTGAAGGAATAAAAACGTTAGGACGTTAGAACGTTTCAATTCTAAGCGGTAAGCGGCGTATCTGAAAATCTAGCTAGGTAGTTGGAAAGGTCGAAAATAATAAAAGGTTGTCGTGAAAGGCTTAATGTCGTGTTAGATGTTCGTAATCGCATGTACGGAGAGATGGAGATGTTTCGGTTCGTGGGGTTGTTAAGATGTTAAGGAGCAGTCTGTAGTGTAGGTAGGTGTAGGTAGCAGCAGGTAGCAGCAGGTAGCAGCAGGTAGCAGTAGGCAGTAGGTTAGGTAGGTCACTGGTATTGATAGTGATAGGGATGCTGCTAGTAAGTACTCCAGTATTGGCAGTATTGCAGGCACACTTGATACCAGTGCCAGTGACCTGCACGCTTCAAGGTTATTCAGCCTCTAACGACGCCATGGTGGAATGGTGCCATGTGGATCTCGGCTCTTGGTTGTGGCTGGAGCCTTTACAGCCCTCCACTTGTAGTAGTCTTGTAAAGTTGTACTATGCACAGTGTACCCGACATGTCAATTCAGCCTTAGCTGGAACCTACTAGCGTACATAAATGTCATCCTTTAATGTAGAACATTAAAGCATTAAATTCCCATTGGCCGAAACCCCACAGCTTATCCCGTTCAGGAATCCCGTCGTAGCTAAACTAATGCAGTTAGACTGCAGTTAGACAATGCGTGATTCCCCTAAAAATTATCCTACTTTTCCCTAACTCTTTCAACTCTATCACACTAACGGTGACCAATCTAGCAGACTGTACGACCAGTGTAGGTGAATGTACCTAGGTAAAGATGTAGGCACTTTCCATTCGCGGCTTAGATCGACAACAAGGCCTCTTAATTCAATGTTCCTATTAATCCACTTTCATCATTCTCCAAACCTGCGACAATGAAGTGCCTCCTTCTCTCCCCGCTTGGGTTCGTTCTGCAGCAAACGTCATCGGTACAAGGCTGGGAAACACGCTTACTACCTAACCTAACCAAACCAAGCCATTTCTAACATTTCCAACACCCGCGGACCTCTTAACTCACCTCCTCCAGTTACGACTTTTACACGACTTTCACGATCTCCACGATAACTACCTACTACAACTACCAACTTACCTACCATTGCTAATCCATATTATTTTACTCCCTAAAAAAGAAAACAAAAAAGAATAATAATCATAATCATAATAGCAATAATAGCAACGATCAGATCTAGGCTATTAACATTGCTATTATTGTTTTATTATTATTCTTATTATTATTATTTATTATTCATCAACCTGCGCTAACATAGGTATCATTAAGTGACTAGAATAGTTGCGCCGAACCTAATAACACCCCGTCTCGAAATCATTACCTTTTTGTCTATTTCATCATCTGTTATTCATCTCCCCTTTTCCCTGCCACTCCAAACATCTATAGGCCAAATTATCGGTCAAGATGTTCATTCTTTAAAGATATATATCCAATTTTATAGCACTGTCCCTCGGTTAAGATCAACATCTAATGCCGAGAGATGGGTGTCTGATGGATACCAACCAATTGCGGAAAGCAACAATTTTATAGTTCCTCAAACTGGAGAACGATCTACTACCTTAGCACCTCAGCATATTCAGCATACACTTAATAAGTTCGGATGAATCTTAAAAAAATGGCTGCTACAGTTGCTAAACCCGGCCTCATTCCCCGAATGCTCCAGGAGCATAATCTCCACCCTTTCGATAATTCAAATACCAAAAACGATGTCGATACCGCTACTATCTCGAAGCCAGACACCGGAGCTGAGCCAAAGGTGCCGCCACAGCACCAGCGAGTTAAGCTAGCTGACTTTTCTCTCGTGAGGACTTTAGGAACGGGTAATTCTATCTGTCGCATTTGTTGCCGTTGCCGAATGCGCAAAAGTCTTTGCCATGCTAAAGTACGTTCGTTGTTGCAGGTACCTTTGCTAGAGTTTGTCTAGTCCGTCCTGCTGCCGGTACCGACGAAGACCGCGAGAAAGTCTTTGCCCTCAAGATCCTACGCAAGGCCGAAGTCATAAAATTAAAGCAGATTGATCACGTACGAGACGAACGCCGCATATTAAGCGATGTCGCCGGTCACCCCTTTATTACCGAACTAATTACTACTTTCTCCGACCATGACTCTCTATACATGCTCCTTGACTACGTCCCCGGGGGTGAACTCTTCAGCTATCTGCGAAGGCACCGTCGATTTCCCGAGGAATGGGCACAGTTCTACGCGGCCGAGATTGTGTTAGTGCTCCAGTATCTTCACGACGACCAGGGCGGCGTGGCATATCGCGATTTGAAACCTGAGAATCTTTTATTGGATGGTCAGGGTCATGTCAAGTTGGTTGATTTTGGATTTGCGAAGAGACTCGGCAGCAGGGATAGTAGGCCTGTTGAGACATACACTCTTTGTGGCACACCCGAGTATTTAGCACCCGAGGTGATCCAGAACAAGGGGCATACCATTGCTGTGGATTGGTGGGCATTGGGTATCTTGATATATGAATTCCTGACTGGTTATCCCCCCTTTTGGCATCAGAACCCTATCGAGATCTACAAACAGTAAGTGCTTCTAAAAATTCAAGACTCACAACGTACAAGCTGATCAAATGACAGAATCATTGAGAAACCTGTTCTCTTCCCGGCTGAGCCCCCTATATCATCTCCCGCGCAGAATATCATTAGGTCGTTATGTACGGTAGATCGCTCACGCCGACTGGGAAATCTCATTGGCGGTACTCAGCAAGTCAAAACGCATCCGTTCTTCGAAGGCATAGATTGGGATGCGCTCTACCACAGACAGGTCAGACCACCAATCCAACCTAACATTAGATTTCCAGGCGACGCGCAATGCTTTGACATTTACCCAGAGGACGACGGTAAACGGGACCCGTACACGGACGAAATGTCTCGTCAATACGATGGCTTTTTCGAAGGATTTTGAAGGATAGATAATTTACGACGATACATGTTCTGTTGACCTACCCAAGTACATAGCCGGGGGTACGACGTGAAGATCAGGAGTGACTGGATATACTCGGACTACCTGCAGGCAGATGTTATGAACTATCTAAACATCATGTATCTATGGAGATTTATGTCTGCATGGTCTTTATTTCTAGGAGTCCCGGGAGCGTTTGCTTTATACTATGGGGTAGTATAAGGAGTAATTTGGCGCCTTGTTCATGACTTGATTGTCAATAGGGCTTTCATTCAGAAAAAACACCTAGTACCTTGTTATACTTGTATAGTATGGAAGTAAATTAGATTCTTGTTTATACCTACCTATTTGCTATTAGTCGGACGGTTCTGTGACTCCGTTCAATCCATTGATTTCTCTCAGTTCTTTTAGAGGGTCAATGGCATATACTAGAGTAATGTCAAGTAAAATGTGGAATAAGAGGTAATGTGACCCCAACATTCCTATTCTCAGAGACGTGAACGGGCTGTGAGAAGTAAGAAGGGAGAGGTCACAATAAGATAGGGGCTTTAAAGAGACTTGGAATGAAATCAGGGGCTAACAGTTTAACCTAGCTACCTGCTCACTCAAATTGACCACAATTCCAAAAGCTTTTTCTTATAAATCGTTATTTTCGTTTCTAGGTTAGGTATCTTTACCGCATGACTCATGGATATCCTACATTCTATACCCCACCTAGGCATCAGGTATCTCCTGATCTAGGTTCCTTAGTAGGTCAATCTTTCGCATCATCATACCTCGCCAGCGCAAACGTCGGCCTCCCATCCCCATCCCTCAAAAGCTGCATCCTCGCCCCCTTCGCCACATCCTTCATCTCCTGCGCCCCCGAATCAAAGCCCACCCCTCCTCCCCCTTCCCTTTCCCTTTCCACAACCCTCTCGTCCACTCTCGCGAATAGCAACGCCAGGCTACTCGACTTCCACAGCCGCCCCGCCGTGCCCCTCGGCGTATGGCACACCAGCACCACCAGAAACACAACGCCGAAGAAGACCAGCGCGGCCGGGTACGCGAACCACCCCCACGTCACCGCCACGCACGTCCGCTCCTCCTCCACCGTGCCGAGCGCGTACTCGTCCGGCGCCAGGGACCCCCGGTTCCGCATGTTCGCCGTCAGCACGTCCGCGAGGTCGCCGACGAACTTGTCGACGGTGTCGAGCGTGGTGGTCCCGTTCAGCCAGAGGTTTTTGGCCACCAGGGGGCCCGTGGCGACGCCGCCGGTCAGGCTCATGGTCGCGGAGGAGAGCTCGCTGGAGAGCTGGGCGCGCAGGACGGACGCGGACGAGAAGCCCATGCTCCACGCGCAGGGGGCCGGGTACCAGGATGCGGGGATGGAGGTGGAGGAGGTGGTGGTGGTGGTGGGGATGGAGTCCGGTGCGGCGTCGATGTTGGAGAGCGCGATCTTGACGAGGGTGTTGGCGGCGTTCTGGGAGGGCTGCGGGGTGCAGGGTATGCGCGCGGGTGTACTGGTACCATCATTATCGCCGTTGTTGCCGTTTCCGGTATTGTTATTATAAGTGCGAAAGGGAAGCACCGACGCCGTCCCCAGCTTGAACAGCTCCCGCTCCTGGTCCGCGAAGTAGAGCTGGTTCTGCCCGATGCGCGCGGTGTCCACCACACGCTCGCTGCGCCGGCCCGACGCCACGCTGGACTCGTACGTCCGCACGCACGGGTACATCTGGCACCCGTAGGCCACCGGCGACGCAGACGGCGTGTACGGCCCCCCCAGCGAAAGCACCTGCAGCTCCATGACGTTGGACAAGGTGGACACCCGCGCCGGCGCCGCGGCCGCGAAGATGACTTCTCGCCCCACCCACGCCGTCACCTCGCCATCGTCGTCATTCTGGAGCGTGTAGTTCTTTATCGGCGCGGGGTCCGACCCGTTCAGCCCCGTGCGGTTCTGGACGCTGCCCGTGATGTCCTGGCACGCGTGGCACATGCCCACCGTCTGGAACCGGGGGAAAGTGCAGTTGCCGGTCACGCAGGCGAGGTTCACGAGCGAGGAGACGTCAGAAGGCGGGTTGAGCAGGCCGGTGAAGATGGCGACGGCGGTCGGCGTGTCGATGTCGGATTCGCCGGCCCCTGTGTGCCCGCCCTGCGCCACGTAGCTGTTGGTGCGCGCGATGGTGGCTGGCTGTTGGGTTGCGGAGCTGGAGCTGGGGCGCGCGCAGTCGACGTACTGCACCATTTGCTGCGAGAAGGGGTCGACGGCGAAGGTGACGATTATGAGGATCGCGGCGCAGCGGGCTAGGGTTCGCGTGGAGCTGCTATCATGAGGATGGGTGATGATTAGTGTGTTGTGTTATGACATGGAGTTGAGGATACGAAAAAAGGGGGGGTAGGTCAATCGAAAGAATAGGGGGGGGGGGGGGGAACAAGGAAGAAAAAGCAACACCTACAATCCTCCCTGCTTAACCAGCCACGTGAAGAAAGCCGTCGGGTATAGCCAGAAGTGCTTAGGGCGACTGAACCCTTCCATCTCGGCCTTGAAAATAAACTGGACCGCGGCCCACGAGTCCCGGCTCGCCTCGTCGAACTCGTGGATGTCGATGAGCCTCCGTGGGCCCTGCTCGAACCATATCCATTTCAGCTGGCTGATCCCTAATCCCGCCCTTTGAAGTTAACTACGTTGGTCGAATAACTAGGTAGGTAGGTAGGTACCTATATCAACCTGTAATAAAAAGGGGGGGAAGGAGAGGGGGAGACGCACCATTCGACAACGAAATAGTCAGCCCAGCCTTCAGCAAGACGATAAAAACGGCTATGAAAGCGTTGATGGTGATGGGGAACGGCCAGTCGTCGACGAGCCTGTCCTGGTAGACCAGCAGGACTACGAGGATCGCCACGAGCGACAGGATCGAAAGCAGCATGCCCAGCGCCTCCGCCACCCATCCGTAATTATATTTCTCCTGCGCATATCGCCACGCCCTTGGTGGTTGATGTTGTTGTTTGCTCTCGCCTGATTGGAAAGTGGTGGTGGTGGAGGTGGTGGTTGGACCCGCCCACGCCTTGGAGTCTGGGGGGTCCGGCCGCTGGAGAAGGGAATCGAATGAGGGTCTGGGCTGGTTCTCTGCTACCACCCTCGCCCTCTCGTTGGCCGCGGGCTGGCTGTGGCTGCCGGTGTAGCTTCCTGAGGTCAGGGAGGAAACTGTGTAGACCGTCGCGGGGCTGATCGCTGTTGGGCTTGGGTTGTTGTTGTTATACTGGCCGTTCTCAGGCTCCTCCCAGTCTCCTCTCGCGCCATGGCGAGGCTCTTCCATACCTAGGTAGTCAGGCTAGAGGACGATCGATAAGTTGCTGCCGACTACGGTTTGCGAACCGGCGCCTAGGTAGGTATATTCTGCGCTCCAGCTTAACTAGGGGATTGGGAAGTAATTTGGTAATCATAAATGTATTAAAACTTAGGTAAGCTACTGCGAGGAAAGGATAATAATTATATTTTAAAGAGCGTACAAGTTCGTTCATCTGAAGAGACTCGCCTTCCTAGATACTATGGCCGCTGCGTAGGTAGGTAGGTACCTAATAATGTAGTTGAAATGCGGTGAATCCCGCGACACCGTGCAACTCTCACACTCTCTCGTACGCCTTCAAGGGAAACGAAAATCTTGGGAAAAGTTCCCCCCCCATTTGAAAATTCCACCGTCCTAGCTTTTTATGTATAAACCCCGACTCAACAAATACCTAACTTAGTAGTAATCAAATACTTAAGATGAATCATACGGGGATGGATGAACAGTTCACTGGCTGCAGTTTTATTGGCGTTCCTTTGGGGGTTAGGTATGGGGGCTGGCCACGAGTGACTGAGTGGCCAAGCTAAATTTAGAATCGCTGAAATGTGAAATGCGACAAAGACGAATCAGGGGAATCGGAAATGCTTGGATTTGGATTTGCGTGGCCAACCATAGCTACGAGAGAAAAAGCTGAACCGACCCGGTCATCGTTGTGCAAAGGTTGGGCCTGCAGATACCTACCTAGGTACCTAGGCAGCAGCAAATGCAAATGCACTGAGATAGCAAGTTGTATCATAGGAATCTCCCCGTCTTATGTTTCCACTCGTGGAGTTGACAGTGTTAGCAGTGATTACATGTTAGAGATGTTGCACATATGTAAACAGAGCCCACCAGCTGAGGATAGGATACGATGGGATGAGACAAGGAGGAGGCGAGATGCCAGGGCTGAACGGTGCACCTGTACGGCCCTGGCTTGGCTCCACCCGCGAAATCCTCACTCGTAATTAGTTACTGTGTAAAGCAGAAAAGCAACTGCTGGTCTTCGCCTTCCTTTCCCAGATATACGCGCACAGTCCACAAGTTTCTTTGTCACCAGAGGGATCGATTCGGGTTTCGTACTCCTGTGTTGCGCACTTTGGGCTCGGGTTACTACCAAGTTATTACAGTCAGCACATGAATAAAAGGGGCGCAGACAGACAGGTACAGGTAGGCTTAAGGTTATTAGAATTGCCGGCAAAGTCTAATCATCCTGTCAGCAATTAACATGAAGCACATTAGTTACATCTTTTTAAGCTCTATCTGTGCCTCTTCCTCTCCCGGGAGTGGGAGTTTATCTGCCACGGCGCGCAGTCTCATTGGTGCTAGATGAAATACAGTATTGGGGGTTGGTTGGAAGAGCTTGGGGTTGATTGTTGAAGTCCTAGATACCTATGTAGGTAGGTGAGCAAGATGGTTATTGTGTTGACATATAACGGTATGAACTCAATAGTTATGACATGAGATAATAGATGCCCAAGCGATAAGATATGTAGTTAGGTGAGTTATGTAGGTGGGTTTATAGATACAGCGTAGCAGCCGTATCATCTAAATATAATACCCCTTAAGGAGAAGATATACACATAGCCTACCTACATACATAACAATTACTTCACTACCGACGTTGCTACCTTACATGTAGGTAGGCTATATTATATATCCAGCCAAGCAACGACAAGGCGCCAGCGTTTCTCGCCACGCAAAACTAACCCACACCGACACACACACACACACCCTTTCTCACTCGCGCCGGGGAGTGGAGGGGAGCCAGGGTATGTATGAGACAAGTTTCCGGAATTGGGGGGGGGGCAGATTTTTTACGCGATTTCCACGATCCGTGTTTGAGATTTCGCCAGCCCGAGTTCCAGAGATCTTGGGTTACATCAGATAGGTTAGATGATAGATAGATTCCATATTATTTTTTCATTGCTCCTTGGAGTGCCGATCTTCCCATGAAGTGAGGCGACCCAAGATCTATTGTCTAAACATCTCCGGTCACATGTAACCGAAGCTTCCCGTCAGGTTCGTAGTAAAGGAGAGACGTATCAGAGTAAAAACTCCCCAGTGTGCATCGAATTCGTCATTATTTTCAAAATCCATAGACGGAATAGACTACCTGAGCTTCACAATAGTAGACCATTGCATTAGTTTTTTCTGATGTGCTTCCCATTCCATCCAGCCTCCTTCTAGCTATCTAGGCCACCCACTCCATTTCACTTGGGGCAATAATAATAAAGAAATAAGGGACGCGGTATAAAAAAAAGGGTAATAAAAGCCTCATGAAAATGTACAGTCAGAGCGTTTGGTTGATCATTATAAAAAAAGGTATTGTCGTGCGCGCCCGACCGTCAGAGACTCCCTATTTGCCACACACAGCGTGACATGACATTACATCAACATTGGGGGACGCATAGCAAAGTAGAGAGCCGTACGAATCAGAAATCCAACTGCATCGCTGACAGCCAAAATGCCACGATGTCACGATGCCTACTCCATATCATCCCCTATCCCCCAGATCCTAACTATGCAGTTGCAGCAGCATTGCAAGTTTGGGCCTGGGTATTGCAATCGGCGAGTGTGAAACCAGCACCACCGTTCGCTGCATCGCTACAGCTGTTCCTTTGGATCTGTTGTCATAGTTAGTAATCGTTACGAGGAAACAAGACATGGGGAAGTGGCTGGAAACATACATCGCAGGCCCTCTGCTTCGCGGCCGCCTCGTTTACAAACGTGTTACTATATATTCCAAGATTAGCTTCTGTATAAGATAAAAAGTATATGGGGAAGAAAGCAAGGGTTAATCTTACCCATTAACGGCGAACGGTCGTTTGGGGTCTCCAGAGCTTGTTACACCCGGAGCTGCACCGCCGAGGTCTTTAGTCTGTTGAGTGTTGCCATTAGCATTACCGCCAGCGCCAGTATTTGTGTTCGAGTTATTACTGTTGCCATTGCCTCTGCCTCCCGCATTTGCGCCATTCTGGGCACCATTCTGACCGTTTTGAGCGCCATTCTGACCGAACTGGCCATTCTGACCATTCTGACCATTTTGACCGTTCTGGCCATTTTGACCGTTCTGGCCATTTTGGTTGGCGTTGCCTCCTGCGTTGTTGTTACCACCGTTGTTGTTGTTGTTGTTATTGCCGCCGTTGTTGTTGTTGTTGTTACCACCAACTAGGTGATTAATTAGTTTCGGTTTCACCAAGATTGCATATAGCTTCCAATGGGCACTTACCAGTGAACTTGTTGCAATCATCCTGAGCACCACGTTGAGCAACGGGCATAAGGACGGGCTGATGGTTGGAAGCGGAGAACATGGTGCATACACGGTAGTTACCGGCAGGCAAGCCACCAGTGACAGTAGCCGACAGTAGACCGTTTCCGTTGCCAGCATCGTTAATGCCCTTGAAGAAGACGAATTGGGTGGCGTCCAAAGGCTGGTTGGGGGTCAAAGAGTTACCCATATCCTGAACAGTAACGTGAGTGTGACCAATAATCTGACCCTGCCCATTGAGCTGCTGGGGAGCGGAGTAGTAAGTGTTGTCAGCGTTAGTAAAGGTACCAGCCTGGAAGTTGTCGACCTGGACCTGGATATCGAAATCCTGATTGGCGGCGAGGTTGTCGTTGTGCTGAGGGTTGACCAAAATGCTCGACACCATGTTCTGAGTCGAAGGGATCTCACCCATAGCTACGGTTTATTAGTTGCCATCACGATGCCGCATCACGATGGAATCTCTACTTACGGATACCGTTACAAGAACCACCCTTGACTTGAAGACCGTTCGTCAAATCCTTGCCGGAACAGAAGTTAATGAAGTTGGCTTGGTCACTGAAATTCGTTAGTTTCTGGCATCATGCCGAATTCGGGTTTCTTACGTCAGGGATGCCGACTCTCCCTGAGCCTGGTCCGGGTTACCATCAGACTGAGAACCAGTCTGTACAGCATTGGCGTCCAACGTCAAGGTGCCCTGGTTGTTGTTGTTGTTGTTATTGTTGTTGTTCCCGTTATTCTGACCATTGTTCTGGTTGTTGTTTTGCCCGTTATTCTGGCCGTTGTTCTGACCGTTCTGACCATTGTTTTGCCCGTTGTTCTGACCATTGTTCTGTCCGTTGTTGCCGTTTTGGCCGAAGCCGCCGCCACCGAAACCATTGCCGAAGCCGCCACCCTGTCCGAAGCCGCCACCAAACTGTCTAGTGTTAAGCGCGTGGGATGCTCGTCGGTTCATGATATGATCGAACGGACGAATAACTGAGGCCTCGGCGAAGGCAGTGGCGCTGAGGAGGCCAACCAGAACATTCTTGGTATGCATGATGAAAAAGTGAGATACCGTAGAGACAAGATCGAGCTAGGGGACAATATATTAAAATTCACTCCGTCTTTCGAGGTGTGAAATAGCAATGGCAAGTTCCAAAAATGGTTCCAGACCGTTTTCGAATTAGCTTTTTAAGGAGTGGTCACAGACAACACTGAAATGAGATGAAGTGGGCAGGCCCTAGATGCTGTCGAAAAAGAGAGAACGAATGTATAAAAGACACACTACCAGCGCATTCTAATAGAAAGAGAAAGGAATGATAGAAACTCGATAGAGGATCTGAAATAGAATTAAAGCTGATGGGGGGATAGGAGTAGAAGTCATAAATGGAGAGGCCAAGACTCATCCTCATTATATACTTGGAATGCTCCACCGGCAAGACGGGTTGGTTGACAGGGTCCTCGGACGGGTTGTGCGTGGGTGCTGATGGAATCAATAGCATCCGCAACGAAGACTACATCATGTTCCCTTGCAAGTTCCATTCCCAGGAGCTGTATCCACAGTCTCAAAACGCGGACGGGGATGGTAGGGAAGAGAGGATGTCGAGAATAATGACAGGACCTTGCAGGGTGTGGGAGCAGGGGTACGGGATGGGACATCTTGAGGCTTCGGTCCTTGGCTAGCCTTGGCTTAACTCCACTATTATAACTACATCAGAATCTGCTTTGCATGGGCTTTTGCATGGGGAGGAAGAAGAGAGCAAAGCTTAAACGATCTTCGTTGAATAGAAATGCACGGATATGTGTACCCCATACATGGCCTAGATTTCATAGGAGATACCACATAAAGGTCCTTGATTTCGTTCAGCGTTCAGTTTCTTCGCAACAGGTTGCTTACTTACCTGCTTGCCTACCTACATACCTACCTAACCTAGCCTAGCCTTGCTTGAAGCTGAGGATAGTAAACAGTAGGTAGGTAGATGGGTGTAAGGAGTTTGACCAGGTTGGTACATAGGAGTAGGTCTCCGAGGAGCAAATCCATAGGTACAGTATGCTCGAGTGAAGATTGGATGTCCTCACTACCTACTACCAGGTCTAGCCGAACACTCACAGCTAGCTACGTAGTAGAAAGGCAACATAAAATTGATCTTGTAGATCTGATGTCACATACTTGGTATCGTCTTTTGTTGTTTGCGCGGTAATAATCTGTCCGACTTTAAGATGATACTCCAGGAGGGACGTGAGCAAAAGCCATTGCGCCTAATAGAGCTAACGATCTACCAATGGATCAGCAGCGACGCGACATTCCTTGAACATTGGTTGGTTTTTTGGTTTTTCTCTTCTTTCGCCATTCCAACTACTACATGGTGAGTGGTTGTTGTTAAGGATGTACTGTTAGGTATGTACTATGGGTATAGCAAAATACTAGTAAATGTACTGCAAAGTAATCATGTAGGTTGAAAAGTTGAGGTTCAGAGGTTGAGGTTGAGTACGGGGTCACGCTAAGAGCTTCGGCGTTCTGTTGGCCGAAATGGTAAAGTGGGGATGAAAACCAAGCGAGCATCGGGCTTTGCGGCTCGATACGTCGCAGATTCCCCAGTTGTCCAGGAACCTGACCAATAAGCGCCAATCTTGGTGTGTTAGATCAGGCACATGCAGTTTCGCCCCCCTGGCTGCATTCTGAAGCAAAACATCTACGGTAGACTAAAAAGACTTTAAGCGCGGATAGGATCTGTGCACCCTTGACTTTTAACTTTTTTAATTGTCTTTTTTTTTTGTCTTTTTCAATGTGACTTTTACACACTTCAACAATGTTCCTACTACATAGGTACTACTACACTACCAGTGACTACCTACATAGGCAGGTATGTATTGTATCATAGCAGCCTATATACCGGCCTACATGCAAACGCTTTGTTTCCTTCCACCAACTATCGATCCTGCGTATCATTATCTTGGCGATGAAACCATTGCTACTTGGGACGACAGATAGGGGTCATCTATCGATAAAGACCAACAAGGCTCCAGCCAGCCTCCAGGGCTATCTGTGATATTGTAGCCAAAGATCGTCAACTACCTATTTGGAATCAGAGGATCGGTAAATCCTCCATCCATTGTTTTGGCCTTGGATACGAAACAAGCTCGTTACCTATTATTACTATGTGTACTCTTACTACTATAACACTGCCATCCTGGATTCATGGTTAGTTCATCATTGTCATAGGCTAGATCGCAAAGGATCTATACGAATAGCCATCACGACGCAGTCGAGTCTCGCCTCAACGTAACTAGTTATAGGAAGTATAGTAAGTCAAATGGACCCAACCTACTAGGTTAGGTAGGTAAATATGCGAGGCCTCTTCCTCTTCAGTTTCTTACCTAACCTACAAGTTATAACTATTCACGTGCGGGATATATAAATGGGCTGGCTATACTTTACTTAATGTAGGTAACGAACATACTATGTAGAGCCCTCATGGTCGTCAGCGAAACATGGGATCTGCTGTTCCTGATCTTTCCGGGCCCGCCCCGAAAAGCTTAATAGATCACATCAATTGAACTTGTTAGCAATCATCACTCATCACCTATGCAACTGGCAGGTTGATCTGAACTTGTCGCGGTATTTCTTTCACTAGCCCCATCATTACCCCCGTCGTCCCCTGCCGTGTTGCAGCCCTATCACCCACCACCTAGGTGTGCTGCTGACCAGTCCGTGTTGGAGTTGGGGTTGGAGACTTGGGACGCGGTGAGGCAATCGTCAATGCAGGAGAGTCCGATCCAAGATATGTATGCTAGCCCCTCATTCGCTTATCTCTATCCCGTTTAGCTTGTCCCATCTTTTTGTCATAATAAAACCCTCTCTTTCGGTCATTCTCCTTTTTTGACAATTTGTGTTCTTATTACCTCATTCCCGGCGTCAAGGTCGAATTACCGTATCGTGGCCGTGCTCTATGGACATGACTCGTTTAACAGATCTAAAATCCCAAATCATCGGTTAAGTTAGTCAGAGATTATTACTACTTACCTACCTACCTAGGTAGTTATTTAGATTGGGATCTATTGAGGGGGGTCGTGAACCCTTAAACGGGCATCTCTAATCTGCATCTTGCGCCTCCTAGTCCTGAAGTTCTATTAGTAAAAAAACGTCTTCTCTGAAACAAGCTTGGACGAGTTCTCATTAACATATTGCGGCGCTCACACTATCAAATATTCTCCTTACTTGACTTTCGGCAATCCTATCCGAGAATCTTAATTAACTGCTTCCTCGTTTGGGTCTAGCTTACATACATGCACGAAAGGGTCGCTTATGCAGGCCGCCGAGCCCCAGTTAGTGACAGATTAGGGAAAGCTAGCTGTAGTTATTTTTTTTTTCTTTTACAATAAAAGTTAATAGGCTCTTACTAAGTAACTACACTAACTACCTAACCTAGTAGCTTTGGCTAGGCAACCTGCTCCAGCCTCCGGTAGCTGTCTCCTTTCCCAGGTCCCCTGGGCGATTCTAGAAATTCCCCTGGGGGTGCCCAACCCCATATAAGCCCCGTCTTCATCGGGGGTACCGCACAATTTCTATCGTGATTTAAAGTTGGAAACAGGAGAAGAAACTTCCCGCCAGGGGCGAGTTGGGACGAACAACAAAACACGAGAAATGACGTTTGGGGCTATTCAACATGGGGCCCGTGATGTGTTTACCTAAGTTAGAACGAAAACCACAGACATATCAACTCTGGCAATCACGGCGTGGAAAGGAAAGAAAAAACAGTCTTGGCAAGATGGGAGCTGGAGATCTCTTCTTCTTGCTCTTTTCTCGGGAGAAGGCGATCTCTGAGAAGAGCCTCAAAATCATCTCAATTCTTTGCTTTGGCTTCTTCGGTGATCTACGATGAATTGCTTATTTCGAGGTGTCACAACAACACCCGGGCATTTAAGTGATGCACAATGCTTGTCCCTACCTACATAAAGCTGTGTAGGATACATGATTGATCTTCTTGAACTAAGGTTCCAATCTAGGCATCGTCGGAACTCCTTCAATGTTCCCGCGTATCGAAGGCACATGTATGTACATACATACCAACTGCCACCGGTCATTTACCAAGCGCCGTATTTTCTTATCTTCGATGTGTGTAATATTAATAATAGTTGACATACTAAATGGCAGGGAGGAATAACAAATCGATAGTCAAAAAACTTGTGGAGGGTCCTAAGCGGCCCAAGTTTGAGGCATGTCCCACATTGCCATGATGAAACCCGGAAAGACCCCTGATTCACGATCAAGAGCATCACGTAAGAGCAGGTGCTTGCAGAGAATGCTGCCAGTTTGCCGCCAAGAAAAAGAGGGAAACGCCAAGGACGAGGACCAATTGGAAGAATATTCTATATACATAGTATTCGAGGTGCGATGATTGCAAGTTTTTGTTTTTGGCAGAAAGGGTCTTTGAGTTGGCCGAGGATCTCTCGTGAATGGTGCCTATCCAACCTCGCTTCGGCTAGGAATTTAAAAAATATGCCTTCCTCATATTATGTAGGTAGCATTGAGCAAATAGTATCAGCCCCAAAGCCTTCATCCTTCTTGTCGCCTTGCCCCAGGTTTTGACCAACAATCTAGGAAACAAAGTAGGTAGGTCAGGTGGGCTGGGAGGCCATCTGCAACGCTGTACAACACACCGTGGGCTTTTAATAGTTCACGTTCTAACATCGTCCCAACTATGCAAAACCGATACCAGGCAAACGCGAGCTTCCTTTCAATCCACCAGCAACTCAAGTTTTGAAGCTTTCAATATTCAATCCTAATTTTAGCCAGCATACCTCGGGACCGATACACATTGCGCAACGAAGTCAAATTCTCGACACAAATCCTTCTAGGACTTCCTGCCTCAGAGCTCGTCGTCAAGCTGCGACGTTCCAGAGGCCTTCTCAGCTATCAAGTCTAGCCAGGCTGCGAGGCGGTACCCGGCCTTGGCAACTTGGAGCTCGATCACGGGAACGGCTTTTTCATAGTAATCACCAGCGAGCTCTTGGCCAACGATGGTGTCGGGCCCTTCAGGGAAAACTAGGACAGACGAGATGAGCTTCAATCTGTTCTCATCGAAAAGCGGACTGGGAGGTGTTGAACTTACCGTGCGTGCAGACGAGTGCATTGGATTCGTTGGCCCAGCCCATTGCGGTCGTTATGGGATCATCGAGCGATAAACCACCAGTCCAGAGCTTGCTGTCCGACTCATACTTGCCCGACTTTATTTGCTCGGTCAGGTTGGCGGCCCATTGGATCGATGCGACGTAAGGCTTCCTGTGAATTGGGCCAAGCATCTTCTCCGGGATGCTCGTGTCCCAGACGTGGTGCAGGTTGACTTCGTTCGAGTTCCATTTCACGTGGATACCGTTACCGCCGTGTGCTACGTTTTCTACGTGCAGAGGCTGGTGAATATCGCCGAGGAAATGGATGACGAATTTGGCAGCCTGGTTCCTCCGCGAAGGCCACAGGCTGGTGTCGAGCAGCTGGGAGGTGTAGTTTTGAATGGAGCTCACGACACAACCATCCTTCTTGCAGTCTCTCTCGAAGTCGACGCCGCAATACGTGGGAGGTGTGTCCTTAGCATCGATGAAGTGGAAGTTGCTAGAAAAGTGCCCCCATTTCGTGTATCGGATGCTGTCAGCCCAAGTAGCCACCCCCGCAAGATAATGCTCGGTGTCATTCTTGAGGATGTCCTGGAAGTATGCGGCCGTGTCCTCCTTGACGAAGTTGGATGCAATGTAAGCCACGGTGATGTGTCCCAAGCCTGATACAAGTTAACCTTCGATGAACGTTTACTTACCAGGTTGCAGCTTAGGCAGTGTATGACCATGGATTTGGATTCATTAATGTCTTTACTCACTTCCCCACGCCATAGCCCTTGGTAGCGACAAAACGCCCAAGGCGATAGCTTTCTGACTGAATTTCATAGTGATTTTTAGATGTTCCAGACGGGATAATTGATGATATCCAGAATATATACCCAATAATGATTCAATCAATTTTTGATATTCATTCACAGGAAATGAAATGAAATGAATTGCGAAAAAATAAAATAAAGACGAACATAAACAGTAACTTTTCTACAGCGACTTAAAAATATCCAGTAGTTACAGTACCTGCCTACATATAGGGGATCGCCAATGTAGTCTAACTGACTGAACCTTGTCGCGACCTTGGTGTGCGTATCCAAGGTGTGCTTATTTTGGTTGTCGTGGGAACACGCGCATGACCCAGTTACCCGCCTGATTCGCTGTGGCTGGCTTCTGCAGGTGACCGTCCAACTTTATTCAAGTTATGTAGGTATACATACCTACCTAGTAGTAGTTATGATTTCGAACTCAATAAAGATGCTCGATGTTAGTCAACATTTAAATGGATTTAATTCCTGATAGGTTCATTTTCAATCGTTTGAATTTAGGTTATCGGGAATGGCCGAGGAATAAAGAAAACTCCTAGTCCGCTGTTGTGTCATAGTGTAAAGTTGCAGCAAGAGCGTCATGATTGAATGCGGGGACAGGGGACGGAATCGAACCCCTCCCCTCCCCTTTTCCCCCCCCAGACTTTTAGAAAGGCTTCCTGCGAATGGCTGCAGGCGCAAGGCACGGGCTACCTACATAAGTACATACGCAGTGCAGCGTCGCTATCTTGCCATAATCTTGGGCGCTAAACTGTATTCAATTTAATCCGCCTGTTTTATGTGTGCTATGAATGTGCACTACTGTATGCACAATGCACCTCCACTGTTCAATGTTACAGTTCACCGGTGCATGCTTTTGTACATACATAGTACATATGCGTCCCTTATCTCTGTACCACCCGAGGCTGCACTAACCCACGGAATGCGACTAGAGATCTGTGGCTCCCGTGCGATAAGGGAAAACTTGTCGAAGCCATCGACCAACCAGACCCAACCTTAAACCTCCTTCCAGCTGACTCTGACTCTAGGTCACTATTCTTCTTATGTACTTGCAACAAGTTGGTCCACCTGACTGTCTTGGATGACTGGGCTTTACTCGTTTCTCTGCCTCTTTTAAAACTTGAACTCGACGTCGTCCAAACTTGTTCGTCTTACATCTTCGCAATCATCCAGTTCTTTTGTCATTTGAATACATAATTCAACCCACACTACATCATTCGATATGGCCTTATCGCACGCTCTCTCCGTCAACGAAATCCTGTCTGGCGTCTTTGGTAGCATCAGCTTGACAGCATGGATTTGCTTGCTCGTATGTTTTCTTCGCTTCGAATGAAGGGCTTTTGTCTGTAGCTACAGTACACTTCATGACTCTTGCAACTAACTATTGCGACAGCTCCCCCAGCTTATCACCAACTTCAAGGCTAAGAGTGCCGATGGCTTATCTATGATATTCCTGGCCGTGTGGCTTTTCGGTGATATCACTAATTTATCCGGTATGACTTGTCGTCCTACAGCCTTTCATTCTAGCTTCGTTCCTGGAAGATCGTTCATTTCAGAGCTTCGAACTTGACCCCGCGGTCATATCCTAAGCTCGGTCCTCCTCTCCTCTTCTCTCATACCCTCTTTTATTTTGACTTAACTTGACTTGAGATGTAGACGAGTGTTAATGCTGACCGTTGGCTTCGATATCTAGGTGCTCTCGTGACAGGACTCGCGCCCACGGCCACCGCATTAGCAGGCTACTTTTGCATATCTGATGTCATCCTTATCTCGCAATCTCTCTACTACAACACCATCAATGCGCGAAAGGCTCGACAACGAACTCGGTCCACCGAATCTGATGCGTCGGAGGATGAGCCTCTATTACAACCACGGAGGAGGTCATCTAGCGGTCTTCCAGGCTCCCACCGTCGTCACTCATTTCACCGTCAAGAGTCTGGCTTCGACCCTATCAAGAGGATCGTCACAGGCGAAGATGAGACACCGGATAGCAACCCTTGGTTCCATAATACACTTAGTGTCGTAGCTGTATACATCGTGGGAGCTGCTGGCTGGTTTATCTCATACCAAGCAGGAGCGTGGGATAAGCCCGAGGCTCCTGAGGAGCCGAGTATTGACACACCAGCGGCTGTTGGAGGCATGGTCCTGGGATACGCAAGTGCTCTTTGCTATCTGTGGTATGCTATGCTCGGAAAAGTCCTTTGAAGATAAATAAGCTAACGTAAGGGTAACCAGCGCACGAATTCCTCAGATCCTTAAGAACCACCGAGAGAAGTCTTGCGAGGGTCTTGCTCTACTCTTCTTCTTGCTGTCTCTCACCGGCAATTTGACGTATGGCCTGAGCATCTTCAGCTACTCCTTAGAGCCTGAGTATATCGCCAAGGCTCTTCCCTGGATTCTTGGGTCTCTGGGAACTATTGTTGAGGATTGCATCATCTTTTATCAATTCCGACTCTACTCTAAGAGTGGAGATGCCAAAATCAACCACGGGGATGGAACTGCATGAGGCCTTGGTTCACGTGGCTTACCTACCTAGGTGCCTACTTGGGTAGTTTACTTTGTCATATCACTCATTTTACATCCATATAGGGCATAAGAGTATCATTGGTGATAGCATTAATGGCGTTCCGGGCTTGGGGTCTGGGGTTCATCATGTTCCCCTAGATACCTTACCTAGGTAGGTATCATTCGGGAGCGAGAACAGAGCATTTCCTTTTGGATTATAGCATCGAAACTTGGGATAGGGAAATAAAGACGTATCGCAATCGCATTATTAGGAACATGTCTGGGGTAATTAGGTATTAAACTGAGGTCTACAGTTCTACTATCATCTGTATGTATCTTCTAGTGTAGATTATGTATGCTGGAAATGGATGGAAATGGATGTCATGAGTTTATATCTAGAATTGCTAACAAATCTGAGAATTGAAAATTGGCGAATGAAATATGTAAGGACGATTTTAAAGTTATCAAGGATTCAAGGTTAATTGAGGATGATCCTTGCATGCGCCGAGCACCCCTATTTGATTGCTTCGACCCCTGTTCGAAACGGTCCAATTTCAGGGAGGACGAACGATGCCGACCGACAGCTTCTTTTCCTTCGTATTTATTTCTTTTTCACTCTTTACTTATCAAAGGGATAGAAAAAACAGAGAAGACCGACAACTCGTCATTCATTCATTCCGCAAATTTACACACTCATTACCTTTTGCTTTAGCTGGGAGCGAGCTGCTTGACGGAATTTCACTCTTTTTAGAATAATTGTTGATTGCTACATTGCATCGCTAGTGGATACAGACAATACAACATTTGAACATCTGTCCCACAGTCCTACTACTTTGCTTTATTTCCGATAGTACGACGCGTACGAGAAGAATCCGAAGATACCCACGAGCAAACGAAGGGAGGATTGATTGAAATACATTTCTCGAGGAAGAAATAGAATAGAAAAATGCGCGTCTCAGCTATCCTATCAACGGTCGCGGCCGTGGGCCCCATCGTGGCGTCGGCCGCGACGGCGGGTGGCAAAATGGGCTTCTCCTTGGGCAACAAGAAAGACGACATGTCGTGCAAGGACGCAAGCGATTACAAGGCCGACTTTGCAGCGATTTCCGCCCAGACTTCGGCCAAGATCGTGCGTACCTACGCCGCGTCTGATTGTGACCTTGCCAAGACCATCCTGCCTGTTGCTAAGGAGGCTGGCTTCCAGGTCGTGCTTGGAATTTGGTACGTTTGAATTTTCTCTCCTTTTCCTCTTTTGCCATTGGAGAATTATAAGCTGACGAGTGAAACCAAAATTAGGCCCGACACCGACGAGTCCTTCCAAGCTGACAAGGCGGCTGTCCTCGCGAACGCGCCCAAGTACAAGGACCAGGTTTACGCCATCACGGTGGGCTCGGAGTCCCTGTACCGAAGAAACTTCACGGGCGCGGAGCTGGCGTCCAAGATCCAGGACGTCAAGTCGGCCGTCGGCACCGACTTCAAGGTGGGCACGGCGGACTCGTGGAACCGGTACGACGACGGCAGCGCCGACGCGCTCATCGGCAGCGTCGACATCCTGCTCTGCAACGCCTTCTCCTACTGGCAGGGGCAGGCCACGAACAACGCCACCGGCTCCTTCTACGACGACATCTACCGGGCCTTCGGCAAGATCCAGGAGCGCGCCAACAGCACCGACAAGATCGAGCTCTGGGTCGGCGAGACGGGCTGGCCCACCAAGGGCGACAAGTACCAGAACGCGCAGCCCGGCGTCACGCAGGCCGCGACCTTTTACAAGCAGGCCATCTGCGGCATGCTCGACTGGGGCTTCAACGTCTTCGTCTTCGAGGCCTTCGACGAGGCCTGGAAGCCCAAGACGGCCGGCGAGGACGGCACCATCGCCGACGAGACCTCGTGGGGTGTCATGACTTCGGACCGGAAGGCCAAGTACGACCTAAAGTGCTAAGTTTTTTTTTTTTCCATCTTGGTATAAAACTTGGTAGCCCCCGTTTTGGGTCTTTCTGTGTCTTTGTGTTTTTTTTTTTAGTTTCTGGGTTGCGAGGCGATGAGGCGATGTGATGAGAGGCATTGTGATGCATGCATGCATGGGAGGGTGGGAGAGGGAGAGTGAGAGAACGAGGAAAGGAGAAAGGAGAAAGGAGAAGAAGGGCACATCTTTTGCCAGATGGCCGAAGCAAGCAAGCAAGCTGTTGTTGGTGTACCTATCGTTGTTTCTGTTGCATATACCACCACACCACATCAACCAGGTTGAATTGAATAAAGTCTCGACGGTAGCTGTTGATACTTGCCTACCTACCTACCAAAGTATGTCTTGCATGAGAAAGAAGAGAGAAAGAAAAAAACAAAAAGTAGATTATGTGATGTGATGTGATGTGACTGTTAAAACCCCCTAAAGGCTAAATGTTCTACGGGATCTACATACAAACCTAGGTAGGCAGGCACCCAGATTGTGAGAGCACGCTAGCCGTGGCACATGCGGCATGCGAGCCATGGAAATACTAAGAGAAATTCCCTACATAACTAATTAACTAACTAACTAGTTATATACCTACCTATGCACGTGGGCTTGCTTGTGTTGTTGAAGTGTGGGTAGGTAGGTAGGTAGGTAGATGCCTAGGTAGTTAAGATCTACGTACGTATGTAGACGGCGCGGATATCCGATAGGTAGGTAGGTAGGTTATTTTCGAGGTTGATATAAGTAACTAAATATCAATGTCCATAAATAGGATATCATCACAGTAACCTAGCTAAACAGCCCCAGTGGCTTACCTAGACAACGAGTAGGTAGAGGAGGTATGTATGTATGTATGTAAGTTAGTTGAAATCATTTATTAAGATTGACCATGAATGAGACTGAAGCCGGAATCTCTGCCTGCTTGGAGGTACAGTACATAGTGTGTGTCTACGTACGCCCTATGTAGGTTACCCGTTTCGCATGAGATTATCTATCTACCTATGTACCTAACTGGTAGGCTGGTTTGTGTAGGTCGGTAGGTAAAAATTATTATCATCATCATCCTAATGAACCTCTCTCTCTCTCTCTCTGCCAGAAGCTTCATGCGGATTTCCAGCCAGGTTTCCTGTACCCAACGCCGACGCTTTAATTCATTTCTGTTTCTGTTTCTTCTCTAAATCCAGAAGGAGGGGGGGCAGGGGTCCGGTGTAGTTGATCTAAACATGTCGCCGGACACATGCATGCATGCTTGTACGTCGTCGTGGCCCTCGTCGAGTTCATGCCTAGATGCCTCTCTGGATATGTTGTATATGCACCTAAATATCCAAGCCGATAGATTCATTATGCCTCCCTCCCTCTCCCCCCTTTCCTATTACATCGAGACTGCATGTCCAAGAACAACAGTGGACGGAGTAGGTGCGTAGGTTTGTAATTAAGAGCGGAGGGGACTATACCACCACCATCTTGTTAGTACCTATTCAACATCACTCATTATTTCTCCCCCCCTTCGAGAAATAAAACTCACCCGCAGCCAGACGGCGTTGTCTTGCCGAAGAAGCAGTCGCCGGCCATGTTGGGAACGATCTGGTTAGCGCGGATGGGGGTGACGACGATGCCGGCGCTGGCGAGGGAGGCGCAGAGGGCCAGGAGGAGGCTGGTTGCGAAGGCGGTCTTCATTTTTTTTGCGGTTATAAAGTTGGATGGATTTTATATATTATTTGGTCGATCGACAGGCTTTGTTCGGGGAAAAGAGAGGGTAACGGTAGACCAGCTAACTTTGAGCTCGTTTGTTGGCGTATATACTAGTAGACAGACGAACAACAAGCGAATAGTAAAAAGCGACAGTAAAAGGGCGATGACCAGATCGCGCGGGTAATATTAAGGGAAGAGATGATCTTCGTAAGGTTGTTGTATTTTGTTGAACGTGAAGAAAAAGCTGGATTGGGAAAAAAAGAAGAAGAAGAAGAAGAAGGGAGAGAAGTGGGAGAGATGATAGGATGCGATACGATACGATACACCTGAAGGGCGAAAAGAAAAGTCGTGATAGGACGAGAGCGCTTCTCCGGCAGAAGAGGTAGGAATCATATGATCCTTGATCCTGGTTTTTCTTCAGCAGTACATACTACATAGTACGGCTATACAGTGCTGGAGAGACTGTGCTATTGGCGTATTATTGACCGAAGCTGGGTAATGCTTGGTACCAGGTAGGTACTTAAATTAACTTAATAGGTGAGAGTTACAGAGAGTACATACCTGCAGTAATACAGTACGGAGAAAAGGGGGGCCCATCCAGGAGGCGGACTGTGTGTATCAGTGTCTGGGGCCTGCGACCAGGAGTGTCACAGACCAGCCGAAATGAAGGAGTCGCATCAACCATTTTGAAAGGTCAAAACACCAGTTACTCTTACCTACTCTGTAAAGTCAGGTACCTAGTTATCTAGGTACATTGATAGGTAATTATGAATAACATTTAACTAGTTAACTACTTTGAATAGGATTTTAATCATTCGAATTATCATCTTCAAAGAATGTTATAACCTAGTATTATGTAAGTAAGGAAAAGGTAGTTCGAATCTCGTCAATCTTGTAGCCGCAAAGATGCAGATTCCGGCAAGATCTAACAAAGCCGATCTGAGATAACTAGATGTAACTATTATTAATTAATCCTACTAAAACTATGTAATTAATGCAACTTTTGATATGCCACGCTACCAACAGCTAAGTGAAATACCTACCTGTTAATATGTAACTAAGTCTGTCCAAAAAAAAAAAAAAAAAAAAAAAAAAAAAAAAAAAAAAAGACAGGGGGGTGGGAATTGCATCGTAAGACGATGAACGCCCTGATGGTTCGATATCGCCATTATCATGTCCACAACAACACCTTTTTCTTCTCTTTTCCCGGGTCTAAGATCTAGGAGCTTACGAGTCCCCCTACACCCCCCCTAACTAATTCCACTCGCGGGTTCCGAGTTGGAAAATTGTAGTTGCCTATATAAGAAGTAGTTGGTAGTAAGTTGTAAATGAACCTATTTCCCTACCTTAAACCATAATCGCTATGCCGCAGCTCGCCAAAGCAACAATCCCGATCGACAAATCGAACGTGATGGATGCTTCTTCGATGCCAGCATTAAGGAGCGCCTAATGAACGACTGTAGCATGGAATGGGAGGAAGAGAAAGAGAGAGGATCAATTTGCGGAATGGAAATAGGCTGGGACGAACATATCTACATACGAAGTGAAACTCGAATTTTCGCGCTGTATTGAGAGAGGAGAAGGGGACATGCCGACACGTGTCGAGCGGCCATGCTATCCGATGGGATCAATTCTATGTGGCCTATTCCTTGGTATTGGATATACCTGGCTACCTAAGCGCCGCCGGTTCGCCATCACGAACAACAAGGGGCATCCTTACCCCATCCTTCTTGACATACCGACTGCCGATTCCTCTCAAGGTGGCCTCCCACCTTCCATCGTGATCTAAGATGCTGCTCTCGAGGCGTAGTGTCACGAGACGGAATCCAGAAGACGCCTAACAAACATTGTTGCTGCGCGGGGATCTCTAACCTCTCCCCTGAAACGACGAAGGCTACCTACGTATACAGGTAGTCGTCGACTTTGTTCTAGATAGCCTCCAGGTAGAGCCCCGACACGTAGAAGCTGGAACGAATGGTCGATGTGTGTGTGTGCATCAACCCTCCATTTGCTCTCAGCAGGTATTCCCTTTGACCAAGTCTTTCTTCTACTCAACCATAGACGATGAGGTCTATATAGGAGATGTAAGCAGAGCTGAAGAGCTACCATGATGAATACTAGGCAGGTAATCCTATAGGTACCTAAATGCCTATACAGCAATACCAAGTTCATGGAAGAATGCAGCACAGCAAGGTGAGGAGATCCCTAGGTTAGCTAGATCTCAGGCCTAAGCCATTCGTGTCAAGCCTCCTTCTCGTAAAGAGACTCTATTCGCCATCTTAGCACGTATTACCATGACCTATAGGCACCTAGCTAAGTACCTACATAGGTATGATTGAACTCGTACTCGCCAACGTAAACCTGATAAGGGGCTCAGCGGTGTAGTATCGTAGCATGAGGCACCTCCCTATCTACACAGCTATGGGCAAATAGCGCCGTTATCCAACTCGACCAAGTAACGTCACCAGGGTATATGCCAGGTAGGTAGGTTATAGTTATATGTACATAGAACTTTGTAAACAAAATGTTAATCCCAAGTCAAAATATACATAGATATTCCTTAGGTGCTAGGCAGACAGGTAGGTAGGTAGGCGGGTAGATGGGAAAACAGTCACCTTAAGTTACGATATCGAGAATATCACATTCACAAGCTACGCAGCCAAAAGTAAACCAGCCAAATATATCATCAGGATTGAACGAGCTATTCCCACAACGACCACAAAATCACCATACTCTAACACAGGGGAGGGAAGTGAGCCAACTCCCGTAGGATGTAAGCCGTTCCTCTCCTCTAGGTATCTCTTTTTGCCTTATCCTCGTCGCTCATCCGACACTGCTCGAGCGGCAGCAGCAACGGCGACATTGTACATTAAATTCAGAAGGGATTCCCACTCATTATTTCGCGCATCCACAACTACGTCTGATGAGAGGGAAAGTGAAAATTATCCATGCCACGAAAAGGAAAAGAACGTATGCTAACATTCCAGAACCCTGAGATAACTAACTCCGTGGGACATCGCGTTCGGTCATATCTTCAGAACGAGCCTTTGAGTGGCCACAAAACTGCTCATTCCATATTCGATGCAGAAAAACTAAAAATGGGGGAAAATGAAGAGAAAAGCGTATTGCATTATTGCCATGAAAGGCTAATAATAATAAAAGTAGGTAGGTGTATAAAGGTAGGGTAAAGGGAAGGGGTAGGTGAGCATGTTTATCCTCACTCGACTCGAGTAGCAGGACAGAGAGACGAACCGGATCGAATCGGATCGAATCGGATCGAAAAGCAACCTGCCGCATATAATCGGATATGCGTTGTTACACGTCAACGCCGTTGTCAAGTCATGGGCGGAATGTACAGGAGTTTTGTTGAGGCCAAGATCATTCTCGCATTCATGAGGGTGGGTTTCATGAAGCATGATGATTATTACCCTCGCGTTCTTCTGCATCCAGCCGTGCTCTCCAGTCAGCTAGATTCCCACTAAGACTGAGGCCTACAGCATCGTCATCTTTCTTGCTGCCAACCTTCTCAAACTCAAAAGTGTTCGAAAGCCTGTAGTTGTTGCTTGTTGTAGCTTCCCACTTTGAGCGTAACTGGTCAAGCTCCGAAGCCAGATCCTTCAGGGCCATGCTGCCTCTGGCATCGCCAACTCCTCCATAGATGCTCTCAACCTCCGAACTCTCCTGTCGACTATGGCCCAAGCCATTTGCACTAGGGATCATCATCTGGTCTGTGCCGATATGGCTGCGTCTCCGGTAGTTGTCTACGGAACTCTCGACTTGATCAAGTAGTAAACTGACTTTTGATTCAGCTTCTTGAACTTGTTTCTCAAGGAGTGAATTCTCGTGCTGCATTTGTTCAAGCTCTCTCTCCCGGATATCTAGTCGCTGGACAATATCTTCGTGGGACTTGGCTGTGCTATCACGCTCATTCTTTGCCAAGTCTAGTTTCTTCCGCAATTCCGCAAGCTCTCCTTCCAAGCGTGACGAGGTTTCCTTCAGTTGGTCCTGAAGAGACTCGATCTTCTTCTCCAACGATGAGCGTTCAACTTCCCAATTCGAGGCTGTGGCATCATCCCGAGATAAAGAGCGTTCTTCTAGCTCCATATTCTCCTTCTTAAGGCGATTATTTTCGGTTTGAGCCTGCCCGAATTCTAGCTTCAACTTCTTCAGCATCTTCTCTGTGCCCTTAACATAGGAAACAGCCGACTGGTAGTCATTGTCCAGCTGGGCTATTCTGTTACGATAGGTAGCCTCAGACTCCTGAAGTTGGACCACAAAATTCTGCTTCATTTCATCGTGGGCCGCAACAGCTTGTGCAAGTTGCCGTTCCAGCTCGTTGGCACGAGTAAGATCAGGCGAGGCTGCTCTAGAGCCCATGCCTCTCACTCGGGCAATGTTAGTTGGGCTAATACCCCTTTCAGCCAGAATGTCTTTTAGTGTGTTGTGTTGAACGGTCATAGCGTTAGTCTCCAGTTGTTGGTTGGCAAGCTGGTTCTTGAGATCCGAGTTCATGGCCTGCAGTGACTGTGTTTCCCTTAAAGCAGATTGTAGCTGTCGACGGATCGACACGCCCTCCCTGCTCGATTGCTCTTGGTAGGCTTCAAGCCCAGCGATTCGTTCTTCAGCCCTTCGGAGTTTATCTGCAGCATCATCTGCCTCTTGCCTGTATTTCTTCACGAGATTGTTCGCAGCCTCAACTTGCCCATGCAAAACAACAACACGTTCTGCATCAACCCGGTTTACTTTGTTTGGCTCTTTAGTGATCTTCTCCAGCCCTGAAATTAAGGCTTGGCGATGAGTGTTCGCCTCTGCTGCATTTCGCTCAGCGAGTTCTTCAGCATCCCGTAGTCGTTGTGTTACAAATTCTAGTTCGGCAGTATGTGATTCGTGTTCCGCCTTGAGCTTGGTGAGCTTAGCTTCGATCTTTTCGCGCTGAGACCGTTCCTCGTCGAGTTTCCGCTCAAGGTGTGCGCGCATGTCTGCTGATGCCACCACAGCCCCTCGAAGAGACTCCAAGGTCTCGTCATGCTCCTTCGAGCTATCAGCAACTTCGTTGTACTTATTTTCAAATTCATCCTTCTCAAGACGTAGAAGTTGTACAGCGGCAATAGCTTCGGCGCCGGCAACTGATTGCTCTCGTGCTTCGCGCTGGGCCATATGCAATTCAGCCCTCAGTTGCTCAAGCTCCGAAGACGTTTGCTGCTTATAAGACTCTAAATCAGCTATACGCTTTTGGGTTGCACCTAGTGTCTCGTCTGCAAGTTGTCGGGCACGCTTCTCCGCTTCAAGCTCCGAGGATGCTCGAGCGAGACTATTTTGCAACTCCCTTTGAACGTTCAGTGCAGAGGCAAGCTTCTTGTTTAAATCGGCAGAGCGATCAACATTGTCCAAATCCCTTTCATTATCCAACTGCGGCGTGCTAGATGCGCTTCCCGTTTGTGCTGCTATCTTTGCCCTAGCATAGGCGGCTTCTCGAACTGCAGCATCTCGTTGTCGTTCTACCTCGGCGATTTGTTTTGCTGCAAGAATTGCTTGCTTATCAATGGAACTCTGGACGTTGGCTAATTCTTGCTTCATCGCTAACAAGGACTCAATCAGTCTCTTGTCGTCGTCATCGAACGTCTCTGCAGCCCGGCTCTCCAAAGTAGGACTCAGAGTTGCGTTTGACGTATATCCCGCCTTACGGGCCAACTCTAGCTCCGACGCGTACCATGCATTTCTGTTTCGAGCAGTATCGAGCTCCTTTAACAGTGCAACGGTCTGCGAATTCCTATTCGAACCTTTCCTGGACAAAGGATTGCTCGGTTGTCGAGTTGGTGGAGGCGGAGAAGAGGGGCGATTTGCCACGCTTTTCAAAGTGGGCTCTGTGCTGCTGTCGACAGATCCCTGGCCACGGGTTTGGCGTGACTGCTTCGACCTGTTCGCATCTGCAGGCGGGTTTTCCGTTCGGGAACCGCTCCGGGTGCTCTGTGAGTTCGGTGTTCGCCTTCCGTTGGTGACTGGGGCTTCCTCCCTAATCACATCTCGCGGCACGGGGGACTGTCTTTGATTGTTGATGCCAGACGTACCAGCGGCCGCAGCCTCTCTCTCTATACGTTCAACGGATGCGTTTCTGGCACGGCGGCCAGCCATGCTAGCATCGATATTTGGCCTGGGAGGCTGGCCTTGTGGTGGAGGCCCTGAAGGGGTTGAAGTTCCTGCTGCTCTTGGAAGCTTCGATAATCCGTTGCTGATAGGAGGGGGGCCAGTAATATCTATACTAGCGCCGCCTCTTCCGGTGCTACTTGTTGGACTGTTAGGGCTTGCTACCCTCTTAGGGTCAGGTCCAGCAGACCCCTCACGGGATGGCGTTTGCCGAACACCCGGAATAAGGTCGCTCCCACTCGGTCGCCTTGCTTGCTGGATCTTCTGGGTATTGGACTGGATCTGGGCATCATTGGGGTACCGGATCTTGGTAGTGTCGAGAACATAGACAATTGAGAGGTCATTGACCTGGGTCGTAGTTGAGCTTGGTTCACCCCCCACTACAACGATCGATTTCCCGACGGTCGTCATACTGTGGCCTGAGCGAGGCGAAGGCGATGGACCCATGTTCTGAAAGGTGTACCAGCGTCGAGAGGAGATTCGGAAAGCAGCCAAATCGCCCAAGTCAGCGCCATCTTCTGTGCGCCCACCAAAAACATACATGACGTCGTCGACTAGCGAGGCAGCGTGGCCTTCCCTGGGAACGGGGATATATCCAATACAGTCTAACTGTGTCCACTTGTTGACCGCGGGATCATAACTCCATACATCGTTGAACCATTGAAAGCCGTTTGTGCCTCCGAACCTGTAATGATGAGCTTCAAATATAGCTATCATGAGACGATGGTGTGAAAGACTTACAAGTATAACTTATCATTATATGTGATTACGGAATGGTTCGTTCTAGCCGGTGGCAATTTGCCTTGCAGAGCTCCGCCAGGTTCACTGTTTTCGGTAAGCACTTCCCATCGATTATTGGGCATCTGCAATTGGTTAAGATCGAAGGCGGCAAGATCATTCATAAAGTATCCCTCTACTTGGCCTCCAAAGATGTAAATCTTGGATCCAATTATGTTTAGCGAGTGCCCATAGCGTCCAGACGGTCGAGGTCCGGTTGGGAGAGCTCTTGACCACTGTCTTGTGGCTGAGAACTTAAGTTAGTTTTCTGACATAGAACGAGATCCTTACGGGGCAATGATGTCTCACAGGTATTGAGAAGATAAAGAGTCTCGTCCAAGATATCGGTCTCGTCGATCTTGGTATCGCCGCCGTATACGATAAATGCATTGCCGACTAGGAGAGAGGCATGGCCAACCCTCGGCCCGGGACCTTCAGAGGTGGTCGCCAGCGGATAACAAGACATATTTCCTCCAGCTTCAATCATCCATAAGTCACCTTTAACGGTCGAACTATTGATCAAACCGCCCATGATGTAGATGTCGCCCTCTTTGGATGATATGGAATTGACAGCCGCTCCATACCTAGGAAAGGGGCCGGGAGAAGAGGGTGCGGATGTTAATCGCCGCTGCGACCACGGATACAATGAGGCGTTCGCATTTTGTGGTGGAGGACCATTGCGAAACTATTTCGATGGCAGTCATGTTAGTAATTCGATATCAAACCCGAGTGTGATAGAAGCAAGCTGATACAGAATTAAGGGAACACTCACGGGCAAGTCGCTAGATTGCTGCGGAGGTTGCTGCGGAGGTGATTGCATTTGCGGCATCTGTTGCGGTGGTTCCTGGCCTCGTCGGCCGGCGTACTTGTCGGTATCTGGGCTCGGAGTGGCTTCGTCGAAGGAATTCAAACTTCCAGTTGGAGTTGACCGGGTGTGCGAGCTCTTTTCCTCTCTGACAATGCGCCCGGCAGGGCCTGGCATTTGGGGCGCTGATCCGGGAGGGCCATCGCGACTTTGTACGGTCCTGTCCTGGTTCTTTTTAGATTTGAATAAGAAGGCCATGGCGAGTCAACGGCCAGATAGCGTCAGAAAGGACCGCAAATAAGGAGTAGTTAGACTAGGTTGTCGGCTGTCGCAGCAGCGACTAAGATGGTGTAATTGTGAGTTGTTGCCGAGACTCTTAATGGATTGGATGCGATGGATTAGTGGACACAATGGAATTAACACAGTAACCACCGAACAATAGAGAAAGGTATGAAAATCTGGTCGTAACTCGAATCCGGGTTTGGGATGGCTGGGGTTGATAGCATGAGGTTGGAAAGGGTCGAAGATGGGTCCCTTCACAATCAAAATTGCGTTGATTGCCTGCTTGTGCTCCTTTCCTTGTCTCTGCGCAGCCTCTCGACTTTTTTTGCTTCTTGTCCCTTATCTCTTTCTCACGCACACACATACACACATACACACATACACACACGATGCCCTTCTAAGCCTCCCTCTTCCTGTTTGATGTTCTGACAGCAAATCCAATAAATGCAAAGTGGATTTAGATGCGAACAAAAAAGGGTTGGTATTGTGGTACGTTGTTACGGTACTGCGCTAGGGACATAGACATGAAAATGAAAGGTTCAAATGGTGGATCGAGTGTTGCGACAGTTCGTTTGTTCGTTCGGTGCCACTGATGGTTTAGTCGGGATGGATTGAATATGGGATATTGGATATTTCCCCTCGAGATCATCAAGTGCATGCAATACACAGGTGCAATTAATCGTACAAAATCCGTACAGAATCACTATCGCCTCGCCAACTATTTTGGCAGTTATATGTCCGCAAACAGTGGCAATTAGAACTGTGTCTTGGGAAAAAAAGAAGGGTGAAGTGAAGGATGAAGGAGTGAATGAATGGCTGATTGGTAAGGTTCGCAAGGCGAAAAAAAAAAGAAAAGGGAAATTTTGGGTTGATGGGAAAAGTAACTCGACTTGGCTTGACTGGCGACGAGGTCGGGTCCAGGGTGCTACTTACTACGTACAGTAAAGTATTCGATTTGTAACTACCTAGTAGTTACCTACACCTGCATGCTGCTATGTAAATTTCCAGAAAAGAACCTAGAAATCTTCTTAAAAGTTCCCCGGCAAAGCAGTTCAGGGTCGGCTCTTGGGAGGTCGTGCCTGCACTAGTCATTAATTAAATCTAGCTACCTAGGTAGGTACATATACTTAGTATGTAGCTAACCTGCCAATATCATGTACTATGTAGTAGCCTGTATGAGATACATCTATGTACCTTTAACTGCATGCTGCGATTGGTAAGGGCAGGCTAATTTAGGGGACATCATCCCTTCAATGTTTCTATGCAGGGTTTAGTCGCACTCTTTACTAAAATTAAATTAATCCATTGGTGTACAGACTGCAAAGACATGTACAATACATTCATGTCATGACAGTCATGTAGGTAATAGGTATTACATGTAACTTGAAGTAGTAGTATATGTAAAGACCAGGTGGAATTTTAGAAGTCGTATATATAAGTAATAGTAGTATCTGGTTTGCTCCTGAAATTTGGGGTTTAACAATTCTGCTATTTCTGGACTTGTTGTGGAACAGTAGAACATTCGATGTTCTATGCAACATTACCAGCACAGAAGAGATCATTGATATTATCTATCTAGGGTACCCTAGGTCCCTAGGTAGGTATGTACATACCTAGGGTAGATAGTAAGATCTGTACTCTGAGATGTCAAATGTCCAGTATCAATAACTATTGATCATTCCCAAATACATAATCCAAATGCTATTCTAAAAAAAGAAAAAAAAAAACTCTTTGGACACTTAACAAAACACCATGACGAATCAACTCTTACATATATTAGAGAGCCTATGAAAACATTTGTCTAAGTTAGTGATCCTCCTTCCAAGCATCGGACAGAACTCGGAAATAAGAAAATGTCCGCCTATGACTTGAGGGATACCTACAGTACATATAACAACCTTGAAGCTGAGTTGGTTATGCTACCGGGTTGTTTTCTCGTCATGCGAAATATGTACTAACGTCGTAGCCATCACGATATCACAAAAACTGCTTGTCTCGTAGCGGCATCGAGCATACCATGTACTGACGCTTATAAGGTACATAATAACTACGTGTTAGCATTTGAAAAGAATGTACCGAGGTACGTTGCACCAATGGGCATTTTACAACTCCAGATGTCTCTTAAAGTATCACACAAAGAGTGAGGTACTAACCTTATGTAGAAAGGGAGGCAAACAGATACACATTTCAAACTTGAAATGCTGATGAGGCCCCTTTTCTTAGCACTTGTAGAATCTACATATGTATGACAATGTATGTAGATAACATTGAAAAGTCTTTGTACATCTGCAAATCAATCATGTGATAACCTTGCCCAAGTACTTAATAATCATTGAAGCGCGTGCATGTGGATAAAATGGACATGTCAACGACTCAACGGTACTTTACCCTACATAGATAGCAGCACGATAATAAACTGGATACATGAAGTTATGTACTTATGTAATATAGCCGTTGAACTCCATGGCTTGGACCCTGGACGATGGTGAGCAAGCTAAAGTGGTATAAAGTGGGCATAGTCGTATTTGGGGAAATGCCGATCATGCACTGAAACGGGTGACCTGAAACGTTGTAAATTAATCTAGCACGTGAGCTGGTGAGTTGCATCCATATCGATACCTTAGTAGGTAGTTACTTATGTAGGTAGGTATGTATGCATACAGTTCACCCCTATAAAAGAGCCATCACACCCCTCCCGAGTTTGATATTCACTACATCCATTGCATGTAGGTTGCAGTCTTGCCTCGTGTGATCTTTTCGTTTCGAGTAGCCGAGGAACGGATGCTTATTCCGGGCCCGATGAGGCTGAGATTCGGCCGGCGGTAACTCGGAGTTAAGACAGAAAAGTCTATCGTTTGATTTCATTAACAAATTATTATTATTCTATTGCAAAAGAAAGCGCAGTGACTTCTATATAACTAAATGCTAAGCTAAAGTTAGATTTTAGGTATTGGTAGCAACGAGTAAGAATTGCTGAGAATATTAACATTTGATATCGGAACTTGGCAGAAAGACAGTTTCGTTATTGTGACGTAGCCTCTCGGAAATGTTAGGAAATAGCCATCACTGCTAGGACTACATAACTGCCTAGTTACTATGTAGTATGTACATAGATAACTGCCTAGATAGCCGAACTTCGAAGAGTTGCGAGCAACATTGAATTGAACGTTGAACTGAAGCTGGGGATTTCGTCACTGCAGAAATGTCCGTGCGTCAATGACTATGTACTTAGGTACATCCCCCACCGCCTTTCCGCTTGTACTTACCAAGCCGAGTAGATCAGATGGGCAACATAGCTCCAATCCAAAGGTCGTTCGCAACATTTGAACCTTCAGCCCAGCTAGCTGTTACATAGTACCAGCACTGAGTGTAGCGCCTATCGCATCAAACCCAATTACCTACATGTGTCAACGGTATTACTGGCTACCTAGTAGTAGTACATACAATACCTCGTAACAGCACTGCAGCCACTGCTAAGGAAACAAACCAATTCCTCACCTCAAAAACATTAAACCTTCAACCTCAAATCTACACCTTTCAACCTACCTACCTACCTACCTACTTACCTATCTACTTACCTACCTTAATACGTACATTCCCACTAATTCGTCCAACCGCGCAGAACAACTTGAACATTGAAAGTCATTAATTATTCTATCAACACTGAGTCTATCAGAATACTCTTACCTTAGGTAACTACTTCTGTAGATACCTAGGTTAGTAGGTATTTTAATACATAATTTTTAGTACATGTATTAGCAATTCCACCGCAGTGCGTCCGCTCATTACGACGTTTCCACCTCGACATGCGTTAAAAATGTATTGCAAACATTATGACGGTCGTCACGCTTTCTTCACATAGCGCCTATTCTTCCAGCTACCACATGAACGATCACACAACCACCGCAAATTCCTCATCTAATAATCTTTCACCTCCTCTAATGGCCAATACCAGCTCATTGCTATCGCGCGATCATCTGCAACCCACAACGAATGGTACCTCTGCTGCTATGCCTTCACGAATAGGCACGAGCGGGCCAACCTACGCCCCACGAACTCCCGAATTCCCAAACGGCCGTCCACGTACAGCTACGGAAGAGAGAGACCAAGTAGAGCTTGATCGACGCCCGCTGACTGCCCCCGGGAACAAGCACAATCTTGCACCCGCAAACTCCAGTGATGATAATGATCATGACCGATCTAGGAGCGTAGTTTCTACCAAACCCCCGCTACTAAGGTCAAAGAGCGAACATATCGTAAGACGCGAAGACACGGACCAGACAGACGAAGAGATCTGCGAATGGGGTGCCCGCCATGGGTTTGAAGACCACTACCAGTCTGAGGATATCATTTCTCAACTAGCTAATGTGAGCTGAATCTAACCTTATACCTTCCTTGTTGTTTTTCTTCCTCAGCGCATCTCTGTCTTCCCCGTGCCGCACGTTGCAGCCACTTGGAAACGGTAGATTTTTTGAACGCGTTTCAATACACTACTTCGATCTTCTCAAACCAATGCCCAGCTCACCACACTCCTACATTGATGGAGTCATATCTCATGGCACAAAATTTGAGACTAACTTGGAATTACAGAATTGGTACATGTACTTCACAGATAAACGACACGAAACAACCGGACAGCCAGAGTCACCAAACTACGCGATCGAGGACTGGCGCATGAGAGATCGGTTAAAAACGGTTTCAGCTGCTTTGGCTGTTTGCCTTAACATCGGCGTTGAGCCCCCTGATCAACTGAAAACAAACCCAGGAGCTAAGCTCGAGGCGTGGCAGGACCCTTTCGTACCTCCCGCAGCAAAGGCTCTCGAGACGATAGGAAAGTCTCTTCAAGCGCAGTATGAAAACATCTCTTTACGGACGAGATACAAACAGTATTTAGATCCGTCAGTGGAAGAAACCAAGAGATTCTGTCAGTCGCTGAGAAGGAATGCGAAAGACGAGCGCGTTTTACTCCATTACAACGGTCACGGTGTTCCAAAGCCAACAGCATCTGGGGAGATATGGGTCTTTAACAAGACCTTCACCCAGTACATCCCCATCTCCTTGTATGACCTCCAGCATTGGCTTCAAGCACCAACCATCTTTGTCTGGGATTGCTCCGAGGCTGGGAATATCTTGAATAACTACCATCGCTTTGTAGAAAAACATGAGGAGGAAGAGGAAGCAGCATCAGCGGCGGGCCCGAATTATGAGAAGACAAAATATCGCTCATACCTTCACCTTGCGGCCTGTGCCGTTAAAGAGAACCTCCCTACCAACCCACGCCTCCCAGCTGACCTCTTCACGGCATGTCTAACAACGCCGATAGAGATGGCCTTGTGGTTCTTCGTTTTGCAGAATCCTCTTAAGACGAGTATTACGCCCGAGCGAGCCAAGAAGCTTCCTGGGCGATTGCAGGAACGACGAACACCACTCGGAGAATTGAACTGGATATTTACGGCAATCACTGATACCATTGCGTGGACATCCCTACCGCGGCAGTTATTTCGAAAATTCTTCAGACAAGACCTTATGGTTGCCGCACTATTTCGCAACTTCATCCTAGCTCAGAGAATTATGACAGTCTATGGATGTCATCCTCAATCCTACCCAGAATTACCAGATACCCATCAACATCCTCTTTGGGAAAGCTGGGATCTAGCCGTAGACTTAGCATTGGCGCAGCTGCCTATGTTGGAGCGAAAGGAGAATGAGGGGATTGAGTACGAATACCAAAGTTCTTTGTTCTTTGCTGATCAGTTAACGGCCTTCGAAATATATCTTGAACGAGGCGACGCTATGCAGCAGAAGCCCCCCGAGCAGCTCCCGGTTGTACTTCAGGTGTTACTAAGTCAGCAGCACCGAGTACGTGCTCTCATATTGCTGGGTAAATTCCTTGATCTAGGACCCTGGGCGGTCCATTTGGCTTTGAGCATCGGTATCTTCCCATATGTGCTAAAGCTTCTCCAATCCGCCGCCGCCGAGTTGAAGCCTGTTATGGTCTTCATTTGGACCCGAGTTCTCGCTGTGGATGTGTCATGCCAGCCTGACTTAATCAAGGACAGTGGTTATAATTACTTCGCCTCTATATTGAACCCATCTGAGGTGCTTGCTGTCGCCAATAGCGATGAACATAAGGCAATGTGTGCCTTTGTGCTAGCTATGCTATGCAAGGGTTATCGACCGGGTCAGGCTGTATGCAATCAGTCTAGCATCATGTCATATTGTTTAGCTCATCTTAAGAATGAGGAAAATGTATTGCTACGGCAGTGGGCTTGTCTGTGTATCAGCCAGCTCTGGCAAGATCTACCGGAGGCAAAGTGGAGAGGTATTAGGGAGAACGCGCCTATGAAACTATCGAGCCTTACCAAAGACCAGGCTTGCGAGGTGCGAGCCGCAGTTATTCACGCCATGACGACCTTCCTTGGAATACCAGATCTTACAGATGAGGTAGCTAGGATTGAAGAGTCTATAGCCTGGACACTATTGGATACCGTCAACGATGGCAGTCCGTTAGTTCGCAAAGAGCTGCTTGTCTTCATTTCTCATTTCGTGCTCCGTTATGAGAATAAATTCATTGTCGCTGCTTGTGAGCAGCTCGCAGAAGAGAAGGAGTATCTATTTTTCCCTCCTAAAGATGATGGCTTAGAGCACAAGATGGGCTTGCACTATGCGCGCCCCGAAAATCGCAATTCGGACGGGACGATCAAGCAAGCAGCTCAGGGACTGTCCTCCAACACGGTATTTGCGGCATGTTGGAAGCACATCCTGATACTGAACGTAGACCCCCACCCAGAGGTCCAACGAGACGCAACGATCATCGTTGATTATGTTCACAGCGCACTCCTGTCATCGCCTGCGGGCTCTCATGCCCAAAACTTGATGGACGAGATTCAAAGGCGCGCGCGCCGACCCCGTGGCCACCGAAAGCAAGCTTCTAGCTCTCGGAATGGCACAGCAGGGGTTCCGGTGTCCGATATAACATCCCCCGAGCCTTCTCCCAGTCTATTAAAGAGAACGGCGAGTCTACTATTCCAGCTTCCAACCATGTGGAGCGGCGAAGATAAATCGGGCAATTCCACGCCGGTACCTACTCCGGGACTCACAAGAAGTTCCTCCCAACGGCATTGGCCTCCCGCCGATTGGGCTACACCAGCCGAGAAATCCGACCAGCTCAACATTACAGCAAGCTACCATGTTACCGAAGAGCCAGTATCAGGAAAATACAAAGATAGGCGCACCGATGAGAAGCCTTCTTTACCGCTGCCTAGTACGTTCTTAGATTGGTCAATTGAATATTTTCGCGAGCCACAGATGCATCCCAGCGAAGCCGAGGAACCTGGAAGTACCGAGTACAATGAACGTCTATGGAGAAGGTCGCGAAACGAGAACATACTGCGTGAGACCCAGCCGCAGAAATCCTATGCCGGTAGCCATAAGTGGAACAACCAGCTCTGCATCATGAATAATGGTGCTCAGCCAGCCAAGATGACATTCCATCAATATGAAGACCACCTTGCAGTTGCTGACGAGGGAAACACGGTCTATGTCTGGGATTGGAAGAAACAAACGAGGCTGAATCGTTTCTCGAATGGCAACCCAGAGGGATCTAAAATCAGTGACATGACGTTTATAAATGAGGATGATACAGCTTTCTTGATGACAGGCTCATCCGACGGAGTTCTTCGAGTCTACCGGAATTATGACTCTACCAAGAAAACCGAGCTGGCATCTGCATGGAGAGCGTTGACTCATATGGTTCCCAGTAATGTCAATTCGGGAATGGTTTTTGACTGGCAGCAAGTAACAGGGAACGTGCTTGTGGCAGGCGATGTGAGAGTCATCCGAGTCTGGGCTGCCGCCTATGAAACTTGTATAATGGACATACCCGCACGATCAGGTTCCTGCGTCACGTCCTTGACATCAGACCAGATGACTGGCAACATCTTCGTGGCCGGCTTTGGGGACGGCGCTGTCAGAGTGTTTGACACTAGGCTCCGACCTCAAGAATCGATGGTCAAGAAATGGAAAGATGATTCCGACAGACAGTGGATTAAAAACGTCCACATGCAACGTGGAGGCCAGCGTGAATTGCTATCTGCAAGTCGAAATGGGAAAGTGAAGCTCTGGGATATCCGGATGGACTCGCCACTTCGAATTATCCGAGCAACTCGAGATACCCTACGAACCGCTAGTACCCATGAGCACCTCCCCGTCTTCTCTGTGTAAGTCGCTATCTAATGGCTAGTCTATCCTCGCCCACACTTTGTGCTAACAGAATTGTAGAGGGACTTCTGCCCATACTGTCAAAGTATTCAACTTTGATGGTCATGAGTTATCCCGCATGGAACCGTATTCCAGCTTCCTGCAACAAAACCGCGGCGCACCTATCTCTGCTACAGCCTTCCATCCCCATCGCATGATTCTAGGCTGCGCAGCGCGTGGGGATCATCATATCAACCTGTTTACCTGCGCCAGCGAGAAGCCCGAGGCGTTTCTCAACTCGTTATAATATGAACTTACTTTCCCCATCATCCACCCCCATTTCATAAAACCCATCTTCCATGGGAAAATACACTCTTATTAATACTACCTTTGAATGAGCACTTAAATGATGACGTCTTTTTCCTATTTTACGACTAGAGAGTGCGCGCTCATACAAATACAACAACGACGATGTGGGAATAGGTAGATGACAGGATTGCATGGTAAGGCAAACAAGGCGTAAGACAAAGGTTAGGTTTTTATGCTCGGGCGGCATCGGGTGGGCTGGTGGATTCTTCGTTTGGTTCTCTTGTCTTTTATTAACGCCGTATTAGGAAAGTATAGGAGGGGATGGCAAAGGGCAGAGGGAATCAATCAAATCCATTTAAGAGGGAGGAACCATCCATGACAGCTATTTGCCTGATATAGTACTAATAATATTCATTTGGGATGACTTGAAAGAAGGCTATAGGTATATATGTCGCTGTTCAGTTGGCCCAAGTACTTTTTGTTTCGGTTTGTGTGCGTGTGTGCGTGTGTGCGTGCCTGCTTGTAGTGTCTTTGGTTGCACAGGATACCTAGGGCAAGGGGTAGGAATATGATACGATTGTGTACCTACCTAACCTAGGTACCTAGGTAGCTGGGATAGAAGGTAAAAAGGGGGACTGACCGCATATATGTAGGTAGGTACATATGTAGGTAACTAACTTATCGTTTGGTCCACAGCGTACGGATGGATGTATTACTAGACCGCGTAAACGCGTACCCTACCTACCTAGGTTAGATGATGAAACGGTGAAACGGTGGTGGGTGAGCCCGTCCGTCCATGCGTTTGGTAAAAGGCGACGGCTGCTAGCTTTAGCTTCAACTTCAAGCCTCTGAGGTCCCCCTTTTTTTTCTACGCAGCTCACACAGCATCACGGTCGAGCATTAGATACCTAGGCAGCACTCTATCCAGTGCTTTTCTTAGGTATTCAGATCTTTTCAGGTCCGCTGCTCAGAGCACATTAGTAGTAGTAAGTACGAACGGAAAAAAGGGGGGGTTGACAATTTCTTTTTGGTTTTGGCTTGTATTATCAAATTCTCTAGAAACCCAAGCACTGACAGCTAGCTATTACACTGATACTCGTTCTACGCTAGGCTGTGAAGCCAGAAATCGCTAGCCTATGAATGTATTCATAATCTTTTCTGTATTTTTTCTTTGAAGCAATAAAGGCTGGAAATGGATGAGGTCAGCGAGAAAGAAAGGTGAGGGTTAAAGAGTTGGGCACGTACGAAAGAATATCAAGACACCGAGCTTTCGTCATATCGAAAAGAGCTAGCTACTCAATCGAATCATCCTGAAGAGATAGCTGTTGGATTGCCGTGTATTCTATCGTGGAAGGGGCGGCATCGGTGGTCGGGGCGGTTCAGATGGCGGTCCGGATGATGATCCAGGTGACGGCTCAGGTAATGACCCAGGTAATGATCCAGATGGTGTTCCGTTTGGTGGTGGAGGTGGAAGTAGAGGATGTGCATGGTAATGCGCAATGGCAAAGGGATTAGGTCGGTTATGAACTTCAGCAAGGGGAGGAAGATTATGAGGATTGCGAAGAATGCGAACCCGGAAAGGAACTGGGAATTCAATATCAGGCAAAGGATTGGGAAGTGTCCGTGTTTGGTATGTATACTCTGCTTCTTCGTTCTGGTCCTCATGTATCCCATCCTGCCCCTGATTCCGGCCCATAGGCTGGAGCACATTGTGATGACCCAGCCTACGGAATACGGCTTGGATTTCAGGTATATATTGGTTAGGAATAGTGAAGTCCAATATAGCTGGTAACCCAAGCTGAATTGGATTTCGAATCAGGGGTGCGTGTAGAAGAGGGGGATGCTCTAAAAGGTTCTGCTGGAAAGGGTTCTGCATCAGACGCGGTTGGTTTTCGTTATTCGGAAGGTTCTCTGCTCGTCCAAGGTTGATGGCTTGATTTTGGGCCAGTCGAACTAGAACTACAAGATTAATGCCCCATCGATGTCTTTCTCTGAATAATACTGCTAATATTATATTTGGTACGTTAATTCGTTGTAGCAACGGCAGATTTACTATTCCATGTGGGCAAGGGCAAGTTTTCTATTTCTTGCCGCAAATATAACAGAAGTTGTAACCGCAGGGGCATCTATGTCGTGCGAGAATATCTGGTTAGTTTACATCCACACTCACTGAGTACCGACACATGCGCGAAAGAAGCCGGCGTTAGGGTAGATAAGTGAACTCACTTCATGTGGTTGCATCCTCCATTTTTCTCGAAAACACGCCCGCACCGGGAACACTTTTGCCACCGTTCCTTTTGGACTACCTCTTGCAGCTTGGGATCTAGCTCTGGAGGACTGCATTCCAGCCTACCAGGGTGGTGTGCCGTTCTGCATCTCATACAGGTCACACGGGCGCATTTGCGGCAGGCTACAGCGTTGGATCCCTCCACGGCATCGCCTAACACGAGCGGCTCGCTACATCGAGGTTCGTAACAATATGAAGGGTTCTGTTGCAGCCTGTACACTTCATGATATCGTTCCAGGAGATCGTCCGCCCCAATCCATATAACATCCTCTTCGTTGATAATTTGCCTATGGCACCTAGGTGGCCAATTGAATATGTCTTTCATCCTGCTCTCGATAAATAATATCAAGCACGCTCGACAGTAGTGGCAATTGCATGAGATTCGACGTAGACCTTCTGGTCCCTCATCCTCATCACAAGACACACATATCAAAAGACTTCGGTTGGGCGTGATATGTGGGTGCTGTGGTGAAGGTGGATCAGAAGCTTTGTCGGATGTAGCTTCGTCTGATGACTTTTGTTCGGCTTCGTCTGGTGTCTTGTTTCGGTCTTGGCTCTCCATTATGCTGGTAGGTAGTTCGTAGGATTTGAAAGGGTAGCAAATAAAGAATACCAAAAGATAAAATACACCTTTAAAATAATATAACTAGATCCAGATAATAGGTAGGTAGATTGGCACCTAGTAGATATATTTTTCTTCAATGACTTGATCGGATGAGGTGTGAAATCGCAAGGTCATGTACTTACATAGTAGGTATCTAGGTATGGACCATATCCATTGCATGAGTTTCCTTGCAACATCCTGCCAAGTGGCTGATTATGGTTCAATGCTGTGACTCTTTTGTTGCGTTGATTGACAGACTCGGAAGGAGTCAGTCTTAAGCTTCAATGATCGTTGTTGGTGAGCCTGTTTGCTAATTGGTCTAGATTAGACCCGCCTTCCTAAAGGGGTAGTGTTTAGAATATATGTCAAACTTACCTCTATATTACCTCTATATTACTATGTTTTATCCTACCTAGGGTAACCTAGAGCTTTACAGGTATCGGAAGTCACACTGCTCGCAGTTGTCAAGTATACTTCACATCAACACAAACTAATTGGCATCTTGGATCGTTAGAAAGAGCAATCCATATAATCTTTCGATGAACTTGAAGTCACCCCATGAGCTAGTTTCTCAACTCTAAGCTATATAGCACCTGCCTGTGTCTTTCAATTCGATCACATGAATCTCTAACATAGCCTTCCCATTGGACGTCCAGTCAACAAAACCTTAGATACACATCTAGTACGACACCAAGTCTCCTCCTCGATGGCTATACTTTTCATTGTCATGTGAGGTACCAACAGGGACAATTTGTTAATGACGTTTACTCCTTCGACTTCTCTGATTCTTTCACTACCAGAGAGAATTAAAAATGGTCATATGGATAGGATTATGTCTCTATCACTCAACATAGGCCCATATGGAGTAGTGGTTAACTCACTGGTCTCCGATATTACCTATTACTAGGTATAATATCAGGCAGTCAGGTACCCGGGTTCGAATCCCGGTATGGGCTTCAATGTTAGAAAACATCTTTTTTACCTCCTTATCCTTCTCCCTTCCCCTATCTTGATGTTCAGAATCCTTGTATAGGTACTTAGCTATATTTATATCTCGACTTCTCTATTCATTATACATAGTTGTTATTTCTTCATCCCTATATTCAAACTATTTGCTTACAAGACTGAAAGCTTTCTAGGTAGGTATCCAAAACGAAGTCCTGACTGATGTCCGAATCAACAACGAATAGGTACCTAGTATGTTTATCACTGATGTCTCATATACTTATATAAAGCTACATACCGATAAGTCCTACTATATGTAGCTGAGTACTACACTACTTAGGTAATGCATATCTCACTTTGCCTCACAGATACAACAGGCAGATTCAGGGGTAATGTTTTGAATAATGCCGTTTCAATTACAGTTAAAAGGGGAATATATAAACTCAGTCATATTATGGATATCGATTCTACCATTCTGGCTACCATCGTGCTTACGAATCTTCGCTACCCAGTTCGATTCAACGGATATCTCTCTTCTAAAGACGTCGCCAAAACTTCCAACTACAGTCCTTGCCTGCCTATTGATGTTAATGCTGTGAATCGTTAGAATACACGCCAGACGATATAACTATTCCGATCGTATAACCAAGACAATATGTTGCTGACTCATTCAATTCCTAAGTTGGTAATTCTGGAGGGAAGAGTGTGGATGTGGATACCAGGCATAACTGCCTAGTACCGGATACAAATTGGTACTAATTTTCGTGATATTAACCAAAACTAACTTTGGCAACTGGGTGCGAAGGTGCTTATAAAAGGGGTTTGGAGGCTGCCTGCCTATACTCGATTATCATTTAGGCTAGGCTATACAGGAAGCGGTGTGTGTCAGTCACGTTTTTAATTCCATGGTTGGGTAACTTATACGAGCGGTTACAGTTTCTTCTTTCTAGCAACGCTAGGCTATTTTGGCCCCTTTTACAGTTGCACTCCCCATCGTCAAATACCCATTATGTTTTCATGCTTGAGTTTGCTCCTGACCACCAACCAACATTACTTACCTAAGTAGGTACCTAGGTAAATATTCTATAGGCACTTATATAACCCCTCCTGATCCTACACCCACAGCATGAGGATACAGCAAGAAAATGCCGAGATTCGCTTCCTATAGGTAGTTAACCAGAAACCTATCTCATGCAGTCAGCGCGGCCCGTGCCTACTCGAAGCACGTTGCCCATGAGGGCACGAGACGACACTCTAACATGGTACGGTGGGTATAGCCCCCGATTACCAGGCAGTCACCCCCTGTGCCTTACAAGACGTCAATGCTTCAGGCAGAAGTTTAATTCGACGTTATCCTATGGCACCTTGGGTTAGGTTATGTGTGAAATAATGGGCTTGACACACCGGGTCCGACTCCGGACTTACGATCCTTGGACGACTTCGCACATTTTATCCCCTTTATTGTCGTATACAATACCCCCCTGATATGCCGGAGGTTCGGCATTTATGTGTATGATTGTACTTCTACGCAGCCGACGATATTAATTCCCGGGTCTCATATATTATCTCTTATTGCTTACCAGATGTTCTACGCTCTCTGAACTACATACGTAGATAACATACCTACCTACCTACTTCTTACTTACCCACGTGGCCTCTTAACCCGAATCCTCCCGCCCCTACAAAACCATGTCAACCAGCGAGAAACCCACCCGGTTCGCCGTGGCGCTGTTCCCGGGCTTCCAAGCGCTGGACGTGTTCGGGCCTCTCGACATCTTGAACATGCTATCTAGGATCACGCCGCTGACGTTCCACGTGCTGGCGGAGACGCTGACGCCGGTGTCGACGCAAGGGCTAGGCACCAAGCACACGATCAGCCAAAGCGTCGTGCCCACGCACACCTTCGCCGACGCGCCCCTCGACGACATCGACGTCCTGCTCGTCCCCGGCGGCTTCGGCACCCGCAACCCCGTCAACGTCGACCCCGTCGTCGAGTTCCTCCGCCGGGCTGGGCCGAAGGTGAAATACCTCCTCACGGTCTGCACGGGTAGCGCCCTCGCGGCTATGGCGGGCGTGCTCGATGGGAAGCGCGCGACGTCGAATAAGATGGAGTGGGATTGGGTAGGTCTTTTTTCCTTCTTTATTTTTCCCTTTTCTCTTTTTTTCTTATCCCTTTGCCTACCCACCTACTACCTAACCACCACCACCACCCCTCCCCCACGTCCCCAACGCTCCTTGAAGTTCCCCAAAGTCATCCAACCCACAACAATTATCAAGATATCATGTTATCAGGTTATCTACCAAATACCTATCTCATACCGAGCTTTCCACCTTTTTGGAAAAAAGTGAAACGAAAGATAAACTAAAAATAAATAAAAACCAGGTCACACAGCAGGGCCCCAACGTCAAGTGGGTACACAAGGCGCGCTGGGTGGCGGACGAGAAGGTGTGGACGTCGTCGGGCGTCACGGCGGGCATGGACATGATGTATGCGTTCCTCGGCGAGCACTACGGCGAGGACGTCGCCCGCGACTTGGCTCAGGCGGCCGAGTACGTCCGGAACACGGACTCGACCGTGGACACGTTTGCGTAGGCAAAAAGAAAAGAAAAGGGGGGTTTGGGGTTTTGAAAGATAGGGTTGAGGGATGATAGAGGGGCAGCGTGGCGCCGAGATAGGTATACATACCTAGAGATAGGGGTAAGAGTCTTGGTGGTGGTGATGGCGTATATATGCATGCATGGCATGACATGGCCCGAGAGAATGGATGCGTGGGTTAGTTGGTGCGACGTGACCTACCTACCTACCTACCTAGGTGCCTAGAGTTGGACGGCAGTGCGGTATGATAGAGGTTGTTGAGATTCGCTTGCATGCCTATACATACTACCTACATAGTACACCTAAGCATCAATGATATACCTACCTACTCAAGTAGATACCTACCTATCTACTTGTATAAACGCTTTAGTGAACCTATTGATACAATGTTGACTGGCCTGCCAAAGTACACGCCCCTAAGCAATGATTTCGTGTTATTTTCCCCGTGTTCACTAATGATCGTCCAAAGTTAATCTAAAGAGATATAGATATGGAAACTTACAAAGATGGAAGGGGGAACGCCGATTGGTTTGTTTGTGTGAAGATGTACCGCCTCGCGGTTTTAGGTGATGTAAGGGGTATCTTTCTTAGGTAGGTAGGTACTTAGTAGGTATTTTCCACGGATTTGGTTCTCGTACTTCGATAGCGAAGTCTACCTACCTGGGTAATCCTGAGGATAGAAGACGGGAGATAGTGATGAGATCTTCTTGGGTAGGAAGGTAGGTAAGTGCCTAGTAGGTATAGGAAAGAAAGGGGCTGGCTGTGATAGGTACTAGGTAATCATTAGGTATGTGGTTTGGTGACTTGTAATTCTTCCCCTCTCCCTTAACCATCCGTACTCGGGAGCTCACTCGCTGTAGATTTCAGGGGTAATATAACATTTGTTTGTGTTGAAAGGTTTAACTAGGTATATATATCGAGATATTAGTCGACTATCGCTAATAAGCAGAATAGGTAAGTTGAGGCGTCTAATGTTAGCCCCTTCTTTTTTTTCTTTTCTACCCACTGTACTAAGCTCTTCCTCCCCATGGCATCGTCTGTAACCCCCCCCCCCCCCCCCTCCGCAGGATAAACTCTGTGCAGAACACGGACGCGCGTATGTTGGAAATACCTTCTAGAGAGCGACTTCTTGGTACCGAGGAGCCGCTGTATAGGTAGTACCTACACCTGCCAGACGTCACCTGCCTTGACAGAACGTGTCGCGTGTGAACTTTCATCTGCGAGCGTGGCCTGTGGCAGGTTGTTAGGTGCCGAGTAAGTCGCTGCTGGCATGAGCTAAATTAGGAACAAAGCCCTGTAAACTTGGCCAAGGTATAAGGGATCGTAGGGCTTGGTGTGTTGCTGCCGTCGTCCTTCGTTGGCAGATGAGGATCATTCCGGCGAATTCGACACACGGACGTTGTCAGATGGTTGGTACCGAGTATCGTATTGTATAATGACGCAGGTTCCGGTATGCAGGTAGGTAGGTATGTAGGATTTGACTAGCACGTGTGGTCAGAATACGGGTTTGTGAATTATTTGATACTGCTGCCTAGATGATACCTACCTACCTACCTACCCCTTTCAAAGGGCTGAGACGTTGACAGTTGTTGTTCAGAAGGGATAGTCTATCACGGGTTTACCTATCTGATAACGGGTTCTGGTACCGCGAATATGACTGCATGTAGGTAGTCGTAGGTAGGCATATACCTACATACAAACACCGAAATAGTATGTAGGGTGGTAAGTAACTCTGCCGTCTACGAGGTCCCTTGCGTCGGTCTGCCGCAGCCATGGCATTATACGCTTTTCTCGATTCAACGACCATAACTACTAGGTACCTACCTACCTAACCTAGCAATTTCATCACCTACTAGATATCTAGGCACTGAGTAAGCACTCTGATCTATTCCGAACTCCAGTCGTACGCACCTAGTCGCTGACTCACCTGGGTGATCTAGCTTGACGCCAAATATCTTCATTTTCTATCTGGTGCTTGTCTTCGTCTGCCTTACGCATAGGGGCTGCCCGGTCGTTTCTGTCATACTTGTTACACGTGTAGGCGCCTGCCTTGGTACAAACGTTCTTCTATTATGTACGGCTTGCTGTCAGTGGAAAGTATACCAGCAATACCAAGCCAAATCTCTTTTGGGCTTGCGTAGGTGAGTACATATAATGTACATCCTACATACCTACACATGCAGTACCTACAACTTGCAGTAAACAGCATTGTAAGCAGCTTAATCCTCAAGCCTCAAGATTTGTTGACAGACACTCCGCATCAACAACATTTGATGTAAGTCGATTAGCTAACCCCCCACGCCCCTAACCTAACCTATACCTCTGGCGCACTGTCCGGTCCGGTTGTTTACAACTCCCGCCTACATAGGTACCTACCTAGTAGCATACCCTACCAATCCAGCTACCCAGCTACGAATGAGAAAATTTCGTTCGGGAAGGCAGTGGCGTTCGCATGCATGCGCCATGTCGTGCCATGGCACAAGTTTACGGGCTAAAGGGACGGTGTTAGGTACGTGCCCATCTTAGGTACATACATGTATGTAGGACGAGTGTTCGACATCTCCAGCATTCAGTGGCCTTGAATTCTTAAGTATACCTACCTACCTAGTAGGCAGACACTGTAGCTAGATAGGGGAGCCTAGCAAAGCCGTCTCATTGGCCTCGCGTGGGTTGCATTTCATCAGCCCCTTTTTGTGTGGCGGTAGACCACATAGGGCCATAGGCAGGTTTTTTTTTCTCAAGTAGATGCCTAAGCAAGGGGCAAAAACGAGAATTCAACTGGCTGCAGCATTGAATGTCTGCATTGCCAATTTTCCTTCTACATATAGTGATTAGTCGGACAATTTCCACCAAGGTACAATGCTTATTTTTTGCTGGTCAAAATCCGAACAAAGTGGGGAAGGTTGATTGGGTAACGACCCGACGCTGTGTCGAAAAGGCAGCGGATACTCGCAGTGGGAGGATTTCTAATCCACTTGACCTGGTCATTCCTCGGATCTCAGGTCCGCAATCTGGATCCGAACACGAACAGGTCATTGGGGACGGGAGACCTTCCCTTAGATCTCCTAATGTTAGCATCCCGTTGGGATACTTGGGAAGGTGAGAAGAATAGTTTCGTTACATGGTAGTTATGAACATGATCGTAGCTGCGTAGATAGATAGCTGCATGTGTATTCAAATAGGGCTGTGGGGATGCATTTCGGAGTTTGGAAGATATGTCGATATGCCTACATACCTGGTAGATACAGACTGTGCTATGTATCGTACATTATGTGTATGTACATACGTATACATAAGTAACTATGTAAGTGACTTCGCGTTATCAGGTTGCGGATCAACAAGTCGAGATCGTTCCCGATTTGCTTTGTCGATCTAGTTATTGGTAACTTACTGCTTAGCTACCTAGGTAGGTTAGGTAGCATTCTTTTTTTGGGGATAAGGCTGGGTACCGCCCCTGTATGAAAAAGCAGGTTTTGTAACCCCTGTAAATGCATTCGGACTCTCTTGTGCCCATTGTGTCCGTCGTGTCCAGCTAGTTACCGCGATGGTAGGTCTTGGCATCAAGAAGCCATCGGCCCTCGAAGTACATATATGTATGATGGCACCATAATATATGTATATCTTTGTTCGGGGCAAGAGGCAAATGTTTGTAGGTTGTTTGTCAGATATTGACGCAACATACCTACTTTTCCAGATGATGTGGTTGCTGGTAAGGTTGTGAGCATTCTGGTGTAGGAGTCGACCTGAATATACGAAATAAAGCCGACTGTAGGGTTGTGTAAGGGTGGCATGTCTATGGAGATAACAACTAAGCCGGACGAGTTGCGAATCACTACATTTCCTAGGGCCCCGAACGCGGATGTATGATCTTCCTGATTTTTAAGGGGGTTAGGGGGCGTTGAGTAGATACATTATGTGCCGTCTGATAATGGATGTTGGCGTGTTGATTTCAGCCTCATAAATTTGATAAAAATAACAATGACAACCCAAGCGAAAAAAATCAAAATTTTCTGAATTATTGGGTCTTCGGAAAACCCGTGGACATCACCTGCAGTGAACAAGATCGATCGGTGAGCCGGGGGAAGAGGGGCCAACTAATGAAGCCGCGTTTCGTCTTACCATCCGAGAGTACAAGGTAGGCCCATTCGAGCGGGCGGGTCGATTGGCGGTGTTGTTCCCAGGACCGGGGCCGTACGAATTGTGGATGTATTTATCTCTGTTTTTTTCTTCTTTTTCTTCTGTTCTTCGCTTCTACATATCCTTATTATTTCATTATTTCGTCCTCAATACAACTTTACCTAGTGTAGTTATTGGTGCTTGCATAGCAGCATAGTAGAAGCTGACTATCGTCCTGCAGGGGAACTGAATTTTGATAGACGTTTCTGATGATACTCTTCTGGATTTCTTTGACGATATAATTGGGGCGGAGTATTTCCCCCGTGCTTGACTGGCTGTCTTTAATTTTATACCTAGGTAAAATGTAGGTAGCATGCCATCTGGAGTAGGTAGATGGAACTTTTAACCCTGACGATTGTGAATGATCGCCATGGTAAGTATGGCTGTAAAGAGTAAAGATGACGTTGAATTGGACAATCACGCCGATTCTTTATGGGCTGTTTTTTTTTTAATTCATTCCAAGTGTGAGCCCATTGGCCGTGCAAGTGTAAGAGGGATGGATGTGTTAAGATGGCAATTTACAGAATTGCATAGGTAGTGTGAAGCTAGGCGACTGCTTTGCCGCAACGGCGTGGCCCAATGAGCCCAATGACTTCGACAGGTACAGGTTACGGCCTGTAGCTTGTGGCGGTTTGGCTTGAGATAGTACTAGGCAGGTATGATATGTAGCTGTCGGCATTCCAAGTCAACGTTGAAGGAATGAGGTAGTTACCTATCTATGCATTGAACAATGCAAGATTTTCTCTCATATCTTTTCATGGCACTTCGATTATTACTTAGTATTGTTCAGGACAAGTGTTATCATTTGAAGTCATTTGAAG